GTAACATAACTCACCAAATATATATACTTATGTAACCACATATATAAGTATTATGAGTTAATGGGAAATACAATCTTTCATGTTAAGAAGGAGGATATTTCTACTCACATTAAAATCTCTAACATTCAGACAGAATTGAAAAAACCGAACTAATAAGAATTTTAATTAGATGATTTTGACTATTGATTCCATTTGAGAAGCTTAGAAGCTTGAAAAATCACAAAGTATATACACTAGTTAATGGCCCATTTATTAAATTGATAAATGTTCATGTGGCCCATTTATTAAATTATGTGATATATAAATATACAGCCTCAGGCTTGATTTGGAACTAACATAAATGGTTGTGTTTGATTCTGAAAACTCCAGATATTTAATTTGCAGGTACAACATGCTCTCTAAAAGGCTGGCTATAACAGAATCAAATTTCCCTTGATGTATAAGACATATAGTTTGGTGAAACTACTTTTTTCTTCTCCAGTCTTTACCATACCAAGAAAGTTTATTCACTCATTCTGTTCTAGTCTCTGCTCAAATCACCTTTCTGAGAGAGGCATTTCTCAGCTGCTTTTTTACAAAATAACAGTTCTACCAGCACTCTCTGTAACTTCTATGGAAAGTTTTCACTTATTGCCATCTGATATACTGTATATTTCCTTGTTTATTTGTGACTGCTGGGCCTCACCCAAATGGAATGTAAACTTGATTAAGCAAGTACTTTGTTCACTGCTATATGGCCCATACCTACAGCAGTGTCTCTCTAGTAAGGGACTTCTAGTAAGGGACTCCATAAATGTTTAACGAATGAATGAATGAACGATTTCTAATCAGGAAAACTCTTCGTGATCAGTCTTAACTAAGCTGATTCTTAGCTCTGTATATGTACTTGAATTATAGGTGGAATTTATTTAAAATACTGAATTTAGGATCATTAGAGAATGTGGTCTAGGCACTTCATGCTTACATGACTCTGATACATGTCAAGATGATCATATTACCCCATTTCCAGGATATGCTTTAACTGTGATCAAAGGGAGATTGTCATATTTCCAAGTTTAATCTGTTTTCTTTCAGTCTCATCCATGTATGTGGAACTGTACTGTTAAGTATTATACGATATGGCAATTGCAGAGAAAAGTAGGGCTGTATTGTCCTTATTTTTTTTTAAGATACCATACTTTTGTGTGTGTGTGTGTGTTTTGGTTATATCTAATTCTGTTTAGTTTTAACTCAAAATGGATTTCAGAAAAGATAAGTTATTTTGCAAAGGATTTCTGCATATTTAAAAAAATAAGAGCTGAAGTTATTTGAAGTAACAGGTTGGCATTAATCTGAATTTTCATGCATAGCGTTACAGAAAAGTAGCTCACTCTAAAGTTTATACTGTGCTTGCTTTATGCTCTGTGACATAAAAATCTTCAGCCAAAACAATACAATAAATGCTATTGAATATTTTAAAAGAGATCCAGTATTATTGCTTTCAGATACTTATCCCAATTTGGTTAAGTAAGCATCATTTTAAATCATAAAAAGGCTTCGGTTGCCATATCATTTATTTAAATAGATTATGGAATATTTGATGATTCTTAGAAACAGATCTCTTTAGAACTTTACTCTTCTAAGAATCTTACACCATGTTTTATTTAGCACCCAAAGGTACTTTTCATTTGGCTATTTCATTGGGCAAATTAACGGGAGTCAGCAATTATGAGGTTTTTTTTAGTTTTAAAAGCAAAATTTATATATCTTCTATCATTCAAAAAAATTCTTAGGGACAAATGTTTTTCCTCATGTTATTGAAATAGTAATCCCTCATAAAACTGTATTAGTAAATTTTGAAGAAGGAAGTATTTAACTTTAAAAACCAATTTATTAAAAAATCTGTTTTCCAGCTTATTCTTGCAGGGGCTCTTAGGATTGCTGACAAAGTAGAGTCAGGGAAGACGTCTGTGGTAGTGCACTGCAGTGACGGCTGGGATCGCACAGCTCAGCTCACTGCCCTTGCCATGCTCATGTTGGATGGATACTATCGAACCATCCGAGGATTTGAAGTCCTTGTGGAAAAAGAATGGCTAAGTTTTGGACATCGATTTCAACTAGTAAGTGAAGAACCTTGACTTTTGATGAATTACATGCATCTCATGCCAAGGCATGTGAAAATAATGCATTTTTAAAAATGAGATCTTCATCTAAAGTTGATCATTTATCTAGCAGGGTAAACGTTTTTGCTTGTTTTGGAAAGCATTAGGATATCCTAACATGACTAGTCTGGAGCCAGAGCTAGCTATTTGCCAGGCGTCTGACCAAGTCTTTCCTGTGATCTCTACTGGGAAACGTCAGTGATGACCATGGGTGTTTCTGGCCAGGTAGTTTCCTAAATAATTGAAAGACTTTTAGAAGGTATTTACCCAGATGCTGTCTGTAATGTTAACCTTTAATATACAGTAGCTACCAGAGTATACTAGCAGTGTTTATACAGTTGTCCCTTGGTATATGTGGGGGATTGGTTCCCAGACCCCATGAACAGGCCAAAATTCACACACACTCAAGTTTTGTGGTTGGCTCTGAGGGACCATGTAAAGTCAGCCCTCCGTGTATGTGGGTTCCGCATCCTACATGTGGGTGAAACAAATCTGCATATAAGTGGACCTGTGCAGTTCAAACCATGTTGTTCAAGGGTCAGCTTTAACTTGAAAGGAACAGACATTTAAAGTTAGTCTGCTCTTTTCAACTTGAACTGTTAAATAAAATTGGGTATCTGGGGTGTTTATTCAGATGGCTCACATTTTGCAGTTCTCTACAAAATGTACTTATCATGAAAAGGCCATTTAAAACAAACTCTTACTTCAGAGAATAAAGTTCTAAATCATACTTGTTAATATCACTATTGATTTTGTCAGAAAAGCCTTCAAGTATTTTTAAGTTCATTGTGGTGGGCAAAAGTTTTCTAAACATTGAGTTTTCATTCAAAAGCTTGAGTTTTTTCATTGACTACAAATACTGTCATTTGTTTTCAATTGATAATTCACATTGTACATTTTCAAAAAAAAAAAAGTCTAAGTCTTACCACAGTGCATGTATTAATTTGTCTTTCAAGTAAAAATGATGAAAAAGTGCTGTCTTCTACCACACTACATGCAGCAGAAGTGAGTTATATATATTTCCCATTTCGTCATGCAGGCAATTAAAAAAAGTGTATTCAAGGGATGAGATTTAATAAAACTACAAATTTTCACTGCCTTGTTAAGTATACTGGCAAAAGATAAATTGACTTTTTTCCTTTCTTTTATTTAACTGTGAGGATCTGGTAGGGTAGAATACAGTGGCTACAAGTGCAGGGTTTTTTTTTTTTTTTTTTTTTTTTTGAGACGGGAGTCTCATTCTGTTGGCCAGGCCGGAGTGCAGTGGCACGATCTTGGTTCAGTACAAGCTCCACCTCCCAGGTTCAAGTGATTCTCCTGCCTCAGCCTCCCAAGTAGCTGGGACTACAGGTGTGTGCCACTACACCTGGCTAATGTTTTGTATTTTTAGTAGAGATGGGGTTTCACTGTGTTAGCCAGGATGCTCTCGAACTCCCGACCTTGTGATCCAGCCACCTTGGCCTCCCAAAGTGTGGTGATTACAGGCGTGAGCCACTGCACCTGGCTGACTACAGTTTTAATAATAAGTATTGCCTTGCTTGATGCCCGCTAAGGCACCAGAATTTTTAACTTTCATAATTTCTGCATCATTCGTGCAAATGCCAACACACTGAAAAAGGTAAATAATGTCTTATTATTATGAAAATAATTTTGACCTCACAGCCCTGAATGTTTGTGGACCACCACTTTTAGAATTCCTGCTTTGGGATAAGGAGCAGGATTCTGAGTCAAAGGTCATCAGATACCTGCATCAAAGGTCATCAGAGAAAATAACTGATAAACTAGGTTGATGTCTGCCTGCTTGGAGGGTTGATGTCAAGCATTTTTAACAGGTTTTCTAAGATGTGTGCTAATATGGTTCCTCCTGATGAAGACACATTAGTGCTAAGACAGGATGGGGTACCCTTCACTCAGTGGTCAAGGTATTAACAGAGAATGGTGCCGAGTCCAGTGTCCACGGAACTGTTACTTCTAGGAGAGAAATTAAAATCTCCAGGACAAAAACCTGACCTTTGAGTTCTGACTGCTTCTGTCTTTCATTATCAACCTTTTAGGATCAGGGTTTCATTTATTAAACAGAGTAATAATTCGTATTACAAGCACTCATGCAGAGAATATCTGAGCAGTATGCATGTCAAAATGTTAATAACAGATTTCTGCTCGGCAGGGTAGCAGGTGATTTCTACTTCCTTTTCGGTGCTCTTTAAAAAGACTTTCTGAAAATTTTTATGTGTATTAGGGCGTTGCTTTGTCACCTAGGCTGGAGTGCACGATATGTAGCCTTGTACTTTTGGGCTCAAGCCAGCCTCCCACCTTAGCCTTCTGAATAGCTAGGACTACAGATGCATGCCACCATGCCTGGCTTTTAAAAACTTTTTTGTAGAGATGGGGTCTTGCTATATTGCCCAGACCCATCTCGATTTACTGGCTTCAAGTGATCCTTCCACCACAGCCTCTCAAAGTGGTGGGATTACAGGTGTGAACCACAGCACCCTACTTCGAAAATTTTTAGAATACTGACCAACTGTAATTTAAAAAAAAAATTATTTCCATCAAAAAATGAAAAATCCCCCTAAGTTCATATATTTCACCTTTTTGCTTCAGAGAGTTGGCCATGGAGATAAGAACCATGCAGATGCAGACAGATCGCCAGTTTTTCTTCAATTTATTGACTGTGTCTGGCAGATGACACGACAGGTAACTTATCTGGGCTATCTATTCTTAACATCTCCTTTCAATTTTCCTGTCAGAGTTGGGAGATTTGGTCACTGATTATCTTATAGATCATTAAATGGAAATTCTTGTACAGTCTCCATGTCCATGTGAGAGCTATTATTTATTGTCATGTTATGAGTCAGGTTAAAGGTTGTTATTTGGGGGTATTATTAAACACTTGACAATTTGATTCTATTAGCATTTCAATGAGTAGCATTGATAGTAACTCCTGAGAAGTTTTCTAGTAGCCATTTTTGTATTGCTGAGAGTGAAGAAAAATAAGCTAGATAACACAAGCAAAACAAAATCTTTTAAGTAACTTTAACTGTTATTTTGTTTCATCGCAATCTGTTCCTTCTGAAAATTTTTAAGGGAAAAATATTTAGAAAGTGTAACAAGGTAGGCGCATATTACATTTAGTTCTTAAAATTTTTTTTTAGCATGGAGAGAACTATTATGATTTTTAGAACTTCTAATAATTAACTTGAAATATTAATATAAATGAATTTAATATTTTGGAAAGAACAGAGGAGACAGAAAACACCTCGTTTATGATGGGATCACTTTATTAATGAGGCAAAGGGTCACTGGCTTAAAAATATGATTTAATACTAACTCGAGAAAAATGATCTCAAAACCCAGTTGAATGCAGCTTATATTAGGAAGTAAGTTCATTATTTATCCAAGGGTTTATTAGACCCCAAAACAGCTGGAAGTCTGAATTGTTTTTACTTCGATTGCCACATGAATTTAAAGTAGAGCAAGTGCTGGCTCTACTTGGCTTTGGATCATATTTATTTAGGAACATATTTTTAGCTTCAGTAAAATGCTATTTATTTAAATAAAAGAAAATTAATGGTAATCATCAGGGGAAATAATAATCAATTCTATACTTAATAGTCCCCTGCCTCCATAAGCATTTCTACTTGGGTGAATTATTTAGAAACATGTTGGGTTAAATGAAGCATTTCGTAGATATGACTACAATATGAGACTAGTATTTCAGCATGTATACTGAAAATGTGTGTGCAATTCAGTTTTGTTTTATCAAACCTTTGGTGTGTTGTGTGGTAGGAGGAAGGAAAGGTGCTATATACTTAGTTTAACGATGTTTAATACTTTCGATGTATTATGTTTGACTTTTCCTTTGGAATTGCCTTTGAGACAGTATTTCAACTACATAAGTCTCTCCCAATCCTTTTTGAATATATGACCCAAAACCCTAGGACCTCACTTTTGACTATTACCATGTTCAGTTTTAAATAACCTTTGACTATTGGCAAAAATTAACTTCGCCATCAAAGGAGTAGGAAAGCACTTTGAAACCTGGTATTTTGTCGATGGTTGTGTGTACTGCTTTCCAAGGTGAGTACCTTGAAGGAAATAATGTGCTTGAATATATTAGTTCTGATGTGTTAGAAAAAAAACCACATTTACTAAAAAAAACGCACATTTACCAGTTACCAGTTTACTCTTGCAAAGAAGAGTATATGATAATCTACAGCCAATCACGCTGAATGTGTCCATCTCATCTGATTTTGGAAGCAAAGCAAGGTTGGGCGTTGTTAGCACTTGGATGGGAGAATACATTCTAATACATTTCTTCCTTAGTAATTTTAATTTTTTTAACTTTTTATATGCTCTATATTTAAAAGCAGTTTAATTTGGAGCCTGGCACTAAATCAAAGAAAATCAGTTTAAATCTGTATTTTTGATAGAACCTAAAATACTTTATAGCCATCAAAGAAAATCAGTTTAAATCTGTATTTTTGATAGAACCTAAAATACTTTATAGCCATCTGTATTTTATACACCTATGTTTTTCTGTATATTTTCTTCCGGAACATAAAGCATATTAACTTGTCATAATGTGTGTTAGCAATCATCAGTTTTATAAATACTTGAATACTAGTACAGAGACTTGAATAGCACATTTGTCAAAACAGAACCAATTATGTTATGATAGCCAGATTCCATACCTCTCTTCCTATTTCCATCCTCATCTGTCACCTCAGTCCTGAAATCAGGAAGCACTTGTTGAAGGGCCTTTTAGATTTTAAGCATGTAAACAAAATAGTTCTCTTCTGCTTATAATTTTAAAAGCAATAGCTGCAGTTAATGCCCTGCTATTTTAGTTTCTTTGTGAGGAAATGCCTACTGATTAAGCTGTCTTCTCATAACTGAGCTAATAGTTTTGCCAAGAAGATGAAAAATTAATCGCAGGCTTAGATCCTTGAGATTGCTATTTAATGATTCAGGATGCATGCATATTTGGCTAATAATAAGGCTGTTAAGAGTATGAACAAATACAGGAGATGGGACTTATTTTTTAAAGGAATAAATGGGATTCGACAAAGTTTCTTACAATTGGCTTTTTGTTGTGGCAATGCTTGATCATCTTCTGCTTGATCATCTGTTTCATTCAGCTTCACAGCCACAAAAATTATTCAAGGCCTAATTAAGTGCCCTTTCTTGTTTAAGAAATCTGTCATGTTACCCTGTGTATACTTGCTAAATTTTAGGAAACTTCAAGGCAAAGCTCTTTTCATCCTTATTCCATTTACATGCTGTTCATACTGTTTTCCTCCACTATAAAGGAAGGGATCTTTCTAAGAAATAAAAATTTGGAAGCAATGTGTATTTTCATAGTCTGCAATCCAAGTATTTATAGAATTTATCACACACAGCCCTACAATTGGTAGAATCTTACATGGAAGCTTCCAAATAATTCTGAAATATTAGATAAGATGGATTAAACTAAACCTTCTGACTTTCAGGGGTTTGTAATTTTTCATTTGATTAGTCCCCCAAAATTGTGTTACTTGTGTAAAACTAACATCCAGTCAAGTCCCTGGCTTGGGTTAGAGAGTGAATTTTCTTTTTGTTAGATGCAGCCAAAATAGTAGCTTACAAGGAACTCTGGTTTGATGGGATGGGTGGTCCGGGAAAAGTTTAGGTCGGTGCAAAAGTAATTGCCCTTTCAGTGGCAAAAGCTGCAATTACTTTTGCACCAACCTAAATATGTAATAGGCTGGTTGACTTGTAAATTATCTGCCTTACTTAAATGTTTACTTTACGGTATTGCTGACATTTTCTGGAGAACATTATTGGCATTTTTTTTTTTTTTTGGTAATCCTTAAAAAAGAAAATCAACTATGTTGTTGAAAATTTAGAGTCTTAATGTTTGTGGTCATTTTTGGCAGAGAATGCCTAGAATTGCCTAAGTCAAAATTCAGCCTGCAAGTGTAGGGTTGGCAGATACAGCATATACAGAAACAACATGGTCAGAAAAGTAATAAAGCAATTTTTGAAAAGAAAACCATACAGATAATGCCCTAATGGTTTGGAATAAGGTAGATTTGAATGTTTAACTTAAAGGATGTACCCATGACAGGAATGAATATGCTTACAGAGTGTCTAAATTTATGTTTGTGATGTTCAATTTGCAGTTTCCTACCGCATTTGAATTCAATGAGTATTTTCTCATTACCATTTTGGATCACCTATACAGCTGCTTATTCGGAACATTCCTTTGTAATAGTGAACAACAGAGAGGAAAAGAGGTAAAATATGAACCATGACTCTCCCCATACTATCTCCACTATATACTTTTCCTTAAAAGAATGTACTCTGTGATAGATTTCAACTGAAGTCATTCTTTTGGGTCACACTTCATCTTATATGCTATAATACTGATTGCTTCCTTCCAGATATCTGGACCTGATCTATTCTGAAGTATCTTTGTCACAAGGCTGAAGGTGCTAGTTAACTGTCTGCTATGAGTTTATGGGTGGGAAGTAGTTTCTGCTAAAGAGAACTGAAGAATGTGAAATCTAAGGAGCACCAGTATACCAATTTTTCTGTGTAGAATGGAAATCCTTCAAAGCAGGTGCATAAAAATTGAGCAGAAAATGTACATTTGAGTGAATAGGCAGTTCAAATTTCCAAGTATATTCTAAACTTATGAGACATTTTAGGTTAAGCTTTTGAATTTAACTTGTCAAGTAATACTGTAAAAAAATTCAAACACTGAAAAGATAATATGTAGAAAGTTAAAGTTTTTCATTATCCCTTTTTTCCTCATAGGTATCACTGTTAAGTGGGGTTGGTATTAAGAAGAAATGGTCTAAGAGTTACGTTTCAAGTTTTACTTCTGAAAACTTGTCTGTCCCATGTATCAACATCTTATTCATCTTGATTGGTGTCTCCCTCTGCATCAACTTTTATTTTTAAAAATGTGGTCATAAAGTAGTTTATGTTTTATTTTGTAAAGCATAGTAGGAATAAGTGCTTGCACTGAAGCCTAGCTGCTAGGTTCAAGTCTTGGATCTGTCACTTACTTTGTCAGTTCACTTGGGGAAGTTAATGTCTACTTTTGTAAAATGATGAAGATTGTTAAATAAGCCATACAGAATACCACAAGAACTGCTATGTAGTGTTTCCTAGACTTCCTTAAAGGCAGGTATTAAAATTTTAAATTCACCTTATGTCTTCAGTGTCTAGCATGCAATATTTCTATGCATAGCAGTCACTCAATAACTTAAGGAATGTTCATTAGAAATAGCATAACTAAGTTCCAAAGATTGTTTTTGAGAGCTTTGGATAGAAATCAGTGGTGATTTAAAAAAGAACTTTTTAAACCAATAATCTGCATACCATGAAATTTACTTTCATAGTGAGTTTCATAGTTACTGGTTTTTAGTGTATCTGAGTTGTACAGCCATTGCCACATTTTCATTTTAGAAAATTTCATCATCTCAGAAAACCTGTTAATAGTCACTCCCCATTCATGCCTGCCAAACACTAATGTTTTTGTCTCTGGATTTGCCTCTGGACATTTCACATAAATGGAATCATTTAATATGTAAACCTTGTGTAATCATTTAATGTGTAAACCTTGCTCCTTTAATGTTTCCAAAGTTCATACATTTTATAGCATGTATTCTTTTTATGGCTGAATAATATTCCATTGTGTAGATATATTCTACTTATCCATTCATCAGTTGGATTGACTTTTGAGTTGCTCTCACTTGTTGGCTATTAAGACTGGTGCTGCTTTGAACATCTGTAACAAAGTTTTTGTATAGACATATGTTTTCAGTTTTGTTGGATATGTACAGGAGTGGAATTGCTGGCTCATATGTTATGTCTTTGAGGAACTGAAGAATGTTTTCCAGTACCCTCTGATTTTATATAAGTTGGTTTATCACTGAAGTCCCCTTTCCTCTAAAGAGATTTTAATGACTACAAAATACTTCTTTACAAAGTTCATCTAAAGTGTAAATGGCTTATGTGGTAGAGAATCTTTACCTATTTTTCCTGCCTACAGAATCTTCCTAAAAGGACTGTGTCACTGTGGTCTTACATAAATAGCCAGCTGGAAGACTTCACTAATCCTCTCTATGGGAGCTATTCCAATCATGTCCTTTATCCAGTAGCCAGCATGCGCCACCTAGAGCTCTGGGTGGGATATTACATAAGGTGGAATCCACGGATGAAGCCACAGGTATGTACTGTACAATATACAATGGGAGTTTTCATCCACGTAGTGCAACTTTGTTTTGTTAAAAGCAGCTAGAAAGCTTATCTGTGCATATTTAAAACTTTACCCACCGGTAGGTACAATGGTATAGTAGAAAATGTACTACACTGGGACAGGATAATCAGTATACCTGGTTCTTAGGACTGCTTGTATGCCGTTGGACAAATCACTTATCTGTTTTTTTGCATCTTCCCTCCTCTGTCTGGATAACCTCTAGGGGACTTGTTTTAATAAGCTGAAGAAAGCTTTAGTAAAGTTAAAAGCTGAACAAAGTTCTGGTGTACTCTGAATATGTTATGGAATATTAACTACTTAAACTGTTCAAGGCTAAAAACCTACAACTAATTGATAGAATCCCTGACTACTGTTTTTTAATTGTCTTAAATATTTGTTGTATTTGGTAAAGTACCAGTTTCAGGAGCATCTGCACAGTAGGTATTCTCTGGAAGTACTGAGGGGCACTGGGAAAGGCAGTGAAAAGAGTAGTGGTGTCCAAAGTCTCTGTATTTAACTTCACTAATGGGTTGGAAAGGTGCCCCTGGTTCCAACAGCAGAAAAAGCATACACTGCAACATTTAGGGAATGATCTGACCTTGGCTTTGGGCAGGATTGCCTAGTTGAATGATTCTGTTTTGCTCTTACAGGAACCTATTCACAACAGATATAAAGAACTTCTTGCTAAACGAGCAGAGCTTCAGAAAAAAGTAGAGGAACTACAGAGAGAGATTTCCAACCGATCAACCTCATCCTCAGAGAGAGCCAGCTCTCCTGCACAGTGTGTCACTCCAGTCCAAACTGTTGTATAAAGGATTGTATAATCAGGGGCATCATTGCTACACACTCTTGATTACACTGGCAGCTCTGAGTAGAAAGTCTTCCAAATTTAGAACCCATCATCTATGAGAGAAAGTTCAGTCACTTTATTTATTTTAAATCTCTCTAGGATGAGTTTAGAACTGTAACAGTGCAGGTGGCTTAAGTGAAATAACTCCATATGTAATTACATGATTATGACACTAATCTTTTAAGTATCCAGAGAATATTAAAATACTTCAGTCCTGGATCCACAGTGGGAACAAGTTTCCATTATTAAAAGGAAAATACTGTTATATAAATCTTGCCATCTGGTAATATTAAAATAAAACCATTTTAGAAATACACTCTGGTCACTATGCAGAGAAACAGTTTTCAAACCAACACTGAAATTCTGTGGCATCACAGATATTGGGCCTTGATACCATGACAGATCAAAATCATTTGGTATTGCTTTCTCCATTCTAGGTTTTCCCTTTTTTTTGCAGTAATTGATTTACCTTGACCAATTTTTTTTAAACTTCCATATTCTTCATATAATAAAAGGCAGACTGTTGTTATGGCATAGTCATAGTTGAAAATTACTGCTGTCATTATTTACATACTTAAGGTGTATTAGAAAGTATACAGAATGGGAGGCCTTATAGATATACATGGGAGAAGACAAAGGGGAGAAAGTAGCCATCCAGGAGTTTAGAGAATTCCATGCCCTTCATATTAGCCCAGTTACCAGAAACATCATGGAAGGTATTTTAAAAATTAATGATTTACTCCACTTTATTTCACTTGTTGTGTGTGTCTAAACACACACAGAAGCAAACGGGCAAGTTTTTAAGAAGTATTTAAAAATCTTACTAGGACTGACATTTTTTTTTCTCAAGTCTGTATAAACAGCTTATGGTGAGATGTACTATGCTCAAATTTTATATTACATTTTTTTCCTTTGCAAATTCTGTAATTCCACTGAATGATTAAGTCTACCAAAGAACATACTGCATGTAAAAGATGTCCTACAATCTCAAAGCCAGTAAAAGAAATCTTGCTTCACTGTTCACCTGCTAGAAGTAAGAGTTCGGTGCTGGTAGAAACATTTGACTCTGATGTCTAGTTTACTCTATGTAAGAGCCATATGTAATGTACTGTAACAAAGGAGCTTCTTGTCCCTTGGTCTTTTAATTAAAAGAAATTTCAACTGACTTTTAAATTTTGTTTGTGTCCAAAGTTGCCTTTTCTTTTTTCCCCCAGAAATATTTGGAAATTACTGGAGAAATATGTACCCCAAATGAAAATGTTCAATTTGTACCCATTTTTCCTTAACCAACATCAATTCCAACAATTAAAATATACAGCGTTTTTTCACTGACTGATTCACTATACAGGGAGTCTGAACCTTACCCTCCATCTTGGTCTTGCAATGAGGAACTAGTTTCTATCCAATTTAGCAAAATTGGTACTAGAATGATTTATTTGGTAATTGTGTGAAATAGAAGCTTTTTAACAAGGCATTTAAGGGTTAGCAAATCAGTATTAAAATTAAGTTTTCTACTCCAAACATTTCACAAACCCATCTGCCATTTTCCTCATTAAACCCTTATTATCTTAGTCTGACACCACATAAAAGAATGTAGAATGGCTGAAGAGATCAAGAATTTAAATCTTGTAGTTTTAATATACTTGCATCCACTTCAAATTCCTATCAAAAGCCAGGGAAATGTAAGTACAACCCTATCACTTCTCTGTTGAGAACCTTCCAGTGGTTCCCCTCACCTTTTGCAGAAGTCCCCAATATGGAGTACATGCACTTGAGCCTTTAAGACATACCACTGGTATGTGTGGAAGGGGGAATACTAGCAATTTTACATATTTACACAAACAAAACTTTAAATATTTGAATTGACAGTTACGTGTTTCATAACTTTGTATGTCTATTGGTTGTGCTGGTGTAATTTTTTTCCCTTTATCATTAGGGTTACAAAATTCAGAGACCAGTATGATTAAATTGAAGCTCCTTAGCCCCCTTCGACCTAGTGTCTGCATACCTCAACTTTTATGTACCAGTGCTATTTTGCTGTTCACAATTGCCTCATGTAATCTGCAGATTCCTACTTTCCCACTTTTGTTCAATCTATCTTGTGCACCTAGAACAACTGTTCTCGCTTGAGACTACTGCCTATTTTGTAGAGTTTAGGCATTTCTTCCTCTGGGAAGTTACCCAATTCATGACTGCCTTCTCTGACATCCCCACCTTCCTCTGTGTCCCCACAGCATTGTGTATATGGCTACTACCACTGCAGTTCACCATACTGTATTGGAATGAATAATTCACATGTCAACCCCAAGTCTGTAAACATACTTTTCTTATTTGAAATGAACTGCAATAAAGCTCTGTTACAACCTAAGTGGATGGATGACATTCCTCGACTGTAAACGTGCAGATAAGAAAACTGAAGCAGTATTTTGTTTTCACTTCTCACCTGAGAGTACAAAAAACTGGAGTAGTTACATCAGTTTGAATCCTAGTTGAGAAACAGGGTAGGCTTTAGCATCATTCAGTCACCCTTCTAATGAGGACTCAGAGCCACTACAATTCAAATGACGGTTATACAGTTTAGTGACCTGAAATTCAAACAAGGAGAGAACAGCAGTTTTTAATAGTTGAAACGGTGGTTAACAAATCTATTTATCATGTCACCAGAGCACTGCTTCTCACTTTGCTTGTGGCTATGGGCTCATGGTTAATTCAATCAAGTTACAAACCTACTCATTAGAAAACTGGACAAACAAACCCAAGTTTACTATTTCAGGAGAATCACAAATAATACCCCAAAATCTATTTAAGGATCCTAAATTAAAACCTGTTACCATAGAAAAGCTTGACATGCCTGGTACCCAGGAAGCCATGACAATTCATGCTGGATGTCTGGATATAATCTAAGAATTTTAACTCAATCACAGGGGAGGCATATAAAAGGAATTCCTCTAATATGTGGCTAACATGTTGATTCGCAGTCTTGGATTACCTTATATCATGAGGAAATCTAATATTCCTCGGCTCTGTTTCTATGTAAGCATGAGAATGGCAACTAAGTACTAGTTTTTTCTCGTCGTCATCAGTACCTTGGTATCCTATTTAGAAATGTATTTTTTCAGAGCTTATCACAAAGCCCTTATTAACAGGCTGTTAAGGAAATTTTCAGTGCTTCCTTAAAAAACGTGCTTTATTGACTTCAAATTTATAAAAGGTTAACATCTTGATCTAGTTGAAATTATATGAACAGGGTAACAATTAAGTGCACAGTTCATATTTCACTCATACTATATACCTGTAAAAGCAAATAATTCAAAGGGTTCTCTGAGTTTTGAGATTAAAAACCACTATGCCTTGAGTGAATATCATGATTACAGAACAGGTATTATTTAAGAACTGTGAAGGTGTATGCTCACAGCATACCCCTTTCTCTCTCCCACTCACTTTATTCCAAAATCTCAATTATTTTGCTGATGATTTGTTTATACTTTCAAAAAATCCTTTTATAATTTTTACAGATGTAACTTAAAATTGCTTGTTTTTAAAAAATTAACAATAGATTAAAAAGCAAGTCCACTTAATATTGATAAAAAATGCCAAAAAGCAAAATTAAAATCCTGTTATATATAAATTTTTAAATATAGTAAAACTCCACCAATAATAGAAACAAAAAGTATGTTTAATGGTTGCTTTGGAAAGGGGAAGTGGGCACTTCATGCCAGAGAAAGGTTTAAAAATGAGACTTTTCAAGTAAGCACTGCCTATGGCATAGTCTCATATTTTGAAAATTTAAACCTAATTTTAATTATACATAACTATTTTTAAAAAATCACACCCACAAGTAAAAACTGGTAATTTGTTTACAAAGTGCAATATATCAGTACAGCAAATTCATCTCAACAAAACAATATAATGTGTGGTTTCTCAGGTTTTCTCAACTCCCCTGGTTTCTGTTTAAACGCTTTAACACTGAGTCATGCTGCATACACAAAAAGCCTGTGTAATGAGGCCTGGGTCCCTTAAACACCTGCTATAAATTAATTCGAACATAAGTTAGTATGAGACCTGGGAAGTAAATTGTTAACATCTGATTGATGAGGTACGGATTATCTGAATAAAATTTATGACCTGGTTATAAGTCAGTAATCCCAAGACAAACTACTGCTTTGTAATGAATTCTGTATGGTTTGCATGTCCTTCAGTAACTGAAGGTTTTTTCTGCGTTTTTCTCCAGGTCTCAGTTTGATAAAATCTTTCTTATTTGTGGTCCCTGTGATTCCAGAACGGCTGCTGCTGTTTCCTTCTTCATCAAGAGTCTTTTTGGTAGCTTTTAACTCCTTCTTCTGCTTCTCTAACTTCTGTTTCTCCAGCTATATCAAATAACCAAGGCAGGAAGGAAAAGGATAATTTAATTATTTTTTTTTCCTGACAACAAAAAGGACAAAAGGGTACCTTCTTTTGGTAACTCATGCTAGGTGAAACTGAAATAATACATTTTAGGTTTTTAAGACTTCAAAATCTGCACTAGTCATTTAACACTTAAACATTAATATAAATAAATATAAGCTTAAATATATATATAATATACAAACAAGTAAACATGAGTAAACAGATCAATTCTAGTTGTCGTAAATTAAGGCAATGTTGCCAAAGTACAGAACAGGGTGAGTGAGAAACAAGGAAAGCTGAAGGAAGGACTCATGGAGGAGGCAAAAAATCAGACATGGGAATGAAGAACAGGAAGGATTTTCACAAACTGGGGAAGAGGAGAAAGGCATTCTAGAAACTAGCCTGAGCAGGCAAAGAAGCAAGTTCCAGATGAAGAGATGTAATGGTAATGTATTAATACTATGAAAAGAATTTTAATTTTGTTCCATTATTTTTAGAATAATTTAAAATAGGTGAGCTTTATTTTTACTTTAGCCAAACTGCTGCTGGCATGTTGCTGTTCCAAGAAAGAGAACTGCTTGAACCCGGGAGGCAGAGGTTGTAGTAAGCCGAGATTGTGCCACTGCACTCCAGCCTGGGCGACAGAGCAAGACTCTGTCTCAAAATAAATTAACAAATAAATAAAATAAAAGGGATAGAATAGGATGAAATATATTTTGAAGTTAAATTACATTCTATATGTGTATCTTCCCAGGCAAAAGCTGTAATTTCCAGAGAGACCACTAGGAACAGGTAGTATCTATTTTTCCTCCATTATTTATTTCTAGAAACTCATAAAATGGGTTGTATTTTTCTTTAAGAACAAAATATTAAGGTATAGATGACTGACCAAAGGCTTAATCAAATAAAATGACTAACAGTATCTATCATAAAGCCACACAAGCCTTATATTCTCATCTCAAAAATGTTGTGACAGCTTTTTAGTGCTTTAACCATAAGAAAAGTGGCTGATTTTATTAGACTTTTTAAAACTTTCATCTATGTCGGGTGCAGTGGCTCACACCTGTTATCCCAGCACTTTGGGAGGCCTAGGTGGGTGGATCACTTGAGGTCAGGAATTCCGGACCAACCTGGCCAACATTGTGAAACCCTGCCTCTATTAAAAATACAAAAATTAGCTGGGTGTTGTGGTGTGTGCCTGTAATCCCAGCCAGTTGGGTGGCTGAGGTGGAAGAATTGCTTGAACTCGAGATGTAGACTGCAGTAAGCCGAGATTGCACCACTGCACTCCTCACTGGGTGATAGAGCAAGACTCTGTCTCAAAAAAAAAAGAAGAAAAAACTTTCATCTAATCTTTGTGTAGCAAACAGGCATTCAGAACCATTCCATTGAACTTAATAGCGCTGCTCTTTACTGTTTCTAGCCAAAATGAAGCTTCCAATCAAACCATAAGATTTTATACTGCAGATAGTCAGCTTCACCAAAGCCACAGAGGAAACATGTTCTGATCAGGTATCCTGCTTGATAGTTTCTTGACTACCATTAAAACGAAGATAGGGCAGTGATGAAAGTCATTGATAGGCCATTAGCATTTTTATCTTTAAAATGTCTACCCTAAACCATCTGCTATGGACCCATAATAAGAGGCCCGTTGTATATGAAATTATCTAGAATTCAGGTGCAGGTCTTTGCCAGTTAAGTAAGGGAGCACCACGCAAAATGGAGGAGGAGCGGGGTACACTCATTTGCGTCCTCCTCTTTCCTGATTTAACCAGCATTTTTCAACTCTGGGAAAATCTGCAGAATCTAAGTTGATCGTAATGATTTTGAGCTGCAGCAAGCTTTAACTCTTACCCTTTGTCTACGCAGTTATGGTTTGTGAGTTGGAAAGAAACAACTGTAGGTAGCTCCATGTACATAATTATCTCTCTATTCACAAAATACTAAAATTGATTGTGAATAACACTGAATACTTTCTAAATGCTAACATACAAAAACTTTTGGATTAAAATGTATTTTTCAAAGTGTAAAAAAAAAAGAAAGAATAAGGCCAATTAGTTTAAGTAACAAATTAGATGGTTACTCCTTACTCCTACAGGAATAATTTGCTGGTATTTTTTTTTTCATACATTAACTTTGGGGAAAAAAAAAAAAAAAGCCCAAGTTTTAGAGTTGAAAAGGCCCGTTTCCTCCCAGCTCTGCCCTTTCCCAGTGAGCTGGGACTTGAGCAGGTTATTTAATTTCACTGAGGATATATGCATACTTCCCAGAAAATGTGGCCTAGCATCCTCATCTATAATGTGAGAATATATCCACTTCATAAGCCTTTGGTGAAAATTAAATGATATACTAAAAGCAGTTAGCACTGTGTCTATCATATGGCTACCAATCAACAGCCAAACAAACCTGTTGTGCTCTCAGAACTTCTCAGACTTCTCCATTTCAGTCAGTGAAATCACCATCCTGGCTAACTCCCTCTCCTTCTACATGATACCCAGCAGCAAGTAACCCCAATATTTTTTTTTTACTTCCAAAACATACCTCAAATCTGTTTACCTCTGCCCAACTGCAACTACCGTCTTGCTGACCACCTCTGCTATGTCTACAGCTGGTCTCTGAGCCTCTCTGCCTTGATCCCATCACCCTACTCCTAAGTCACCACAGTAATCTCTTAAATACATGAATCATGTTTCTCTCTGAATGAAAATCCTTCAGTGTGATGTCACCACTGCATCTAGTAGATACCACATTGTTGGCTGATATAAAATGATTAGTAACATAAATATATTTCACGTATTTAATGTGTGACTTATTCCTTTGGAAATAGAATTTTCCAGGTGCTTTTTAAAAAGATTTATTTGGATAAACTGAGAACTGGTTGAAGCTTATTCATAAAGAATATTAAATATAGTCAGTATTTGAAAGATGTATCTTAGATGAATATGCTAAGTGACTAAAAGACAGCATCTTCTCTAATCCACTTAGCAATTCCTAATGAACAAAATGTCTTCAGTAAAGAAGTATCTCCTATAGATATTTATCTATAATATACTTTGTGTCATCATTTTTAATATTTGAAATAAAGGTTTTTTTGTTTTTTTTTTCTTAATCATTAGAAACTTGAGTGAAGGAAAACTGAGTTACCTGGGCTTGGTATTTTCGAACTTTAGTTATTTGGTTGGCTTTTGCTTCCATCCTTCCCACTAATGCCTCCAATTCACACTCCAAGTTCTCTTTCAGTTCAACAGTTGGTGACTCCTGGATAAGTTTTGTAAGCTGCTGGTGATCACTACATACAAAGCAGAAGTAGAACATGATTAAGTTTTCTATGTTTCATGGTTAGGTCTATTATACCTTACTCATTATGGGGTTACTGCTCCATGTGTTTAAAAATGAATCCAGTTTTTGAATAGAGCAACAAATTTTTAATTGAAAATACGAAATAAAAAGTTCAAGAAAGGCACTGGAGGCAAATGCAAGAGTTCTTAATTTCAAAGATAATTCTTTAAATTCATATTTTCCCCAAAAGAGTACTGTATATGTAAAGCAAAGTCTAGAGATGAATCTTGTTGTTCAAATACTCACATCCTAACTTACCAGTTAAGTTTAGCTAAAATGAATGTAATGCCAGGTACCCAATGATGATGTAGTAGTAAACAATAGACCACCTATACAACAGTGGTCCCATAAACTTTAATATCATATTTTTACTGTACCAAGATATGTTTATATACACAAATACTTACCATTGTGTTACAATTGCTTATAGTATTCAGCAGTAGAGTAACATGCTGTACAGGTTTATAGCCTAGGAGCAATAGGCCATAAGCTTAGTATACTCTTACTTTAGCATAGAGAGAAAATAAATCATCTATATATTTCTCAGAACACATCTTTGTCATGAGTGATGAATTACTGTATATCAAGTTCTCAAAGAAATAAAACTTTAGTGTAAACCTTGGTCTTCAAAACATTTAACAGTATTTAAAAAGAGATTTTGCCCTTATTAGTTGTGTTTATTAAAGTCTCAGTAACTTGGCTGGTATAAGGATTGTGCTTAACTATACTTGCTGAACAAAGGGAAGTAAGATTAATAAAGTCAACAAGTTTTTAAAAAATGAGGTTTTAGAGCTAAGTTGAATTAGAAAACCAACAACTCACAAGCTCATTTGCCCAAATTCATCTTGTAAAGTCTGTAAGACTTCTGACAACTCCTCATTAATACCGTTGGAGGAGGGAGGTGTTACTGACAACTTCTTACTTTTACCACCTCGTGAAGATACTTGCTTTGCCAAAGGAATACTGCTGACAACTCGATCATTGCACAAAACTTTACTGTGTTGCTTCATTAGATGCAGAACAAGCTGAACGTTGGCTACCACAGCATGGCTAGGACTTGTGGACTAAAGGAAGAAAAATGATGAAAGAAATAATTGAAGCTATATTTTCTACACCACTTTTTATTGCCTAAGCCTACGTAAAAAGAACTCTCCACCCCACAAAGTATAGTATATAAATCCTAAAAATATTACTCTGATCATGATGTTCTTCTTTTTGAAATCCTTTAATATAAATCCACTAACTATGCTTCAGAATGGAAAATAAGGCCCTACATACACATCATTGAGCTGCAACCTACATTTTCTAGCCGCATGTCCTATCATCCCCCACTTCTCTCCATTTTATGAACAAACCATATTTGCAGATGACCTTTTTTTTTTTTGACATTTATATCATTCTTTAAAACCCAGTTCAAGTATGTTATTTTTTAAAGGCTTCCTTAAAACTGCCAGGTAATTAATCAGTCCATTCCAGATCACCTATAACACTTTTTATAGATCTCTCTCATAGCATTTATCATAATATACTGTAATTGCTTTCACATATCTATTTCACCTATGAAACAGTGTACATTTGAATAGACTTATTCATTTCTCTATCTTGGAATAATAAGAAACACTAAATACATGTCTATCACATGTGTAAGAAAAATCTGATAAACTTCTCAAAAATATTTTTGTTTTAAACACTAAACCAACAATCTCAATGTGCTATTCCACTTTACAAATAGATGGCTGGACTTACTTGGCTCCATACGTATCATTAGACAGCATATTTAAAATTTAGGTTCCTAAGCAGCACACCAAACTCACTGCAGAGTTAAGAGTTTGGAAATTTGTGTTTTTCAGTCCTCCAGTTGATTCTGACTAGCCAGATTTGGAACCACCATTCTAAGCTAAACACATGCTTTCCTTCTAATCTGTTTCTATTGTTAGCTAGCAGATTGAATGCAGCAGTATTATATATCGCATCCAAGTGGGGTTTATTACAGCAATGCAAGGCTGGTCCACTATTCAAAAATCAATGTAACTGCTATTTTGCCTGTAACTTGCAATATGTATTTATTATACTAATTGCCTACAAGTATACTTTCAATATACAATAATTTAAAATGTTCTCTTATTCTTGTCCTGATATTTATTAATATGCAGTTGACCCTTGAACAATGGAGGGGTTAGGGGCACTGACCACCCATGCAGTCAAAACTGTGCTATAAAACTTTTGTTTTCCTTCAACTTTTAAAGTTCTGGGGTACATGCACAGATTTGTTACCTAGGTAAATGTGTGCCATGGTGGTTTGCTGCACAGGTTAACCCATCACCTAGGTATTAACCTCAGCAACCATTAGCTACTCTTCCTGATGCTCTCTCCCCGCTGACCAACTCCCCCACCAAAAAGGCCCCAGTGCATGTTGTTCCCACTATGTGTCCATGTGTTTTGATCATTCAGTTCCCACTTATGTAACTGAGAACTGTAATAAAAGTTTTGAATGCCCTAAAATGTAACTAATAGCGGGCTGTTGACTAGAAGCACTTACATTATGTTTTACGTATTATAAACTATATTCTAAATATAAGTTAGAAGAAAATATTAAGAAAATCCTAAGGAAGAGAAAGTATATTTACTATCCACCAACTAGATCACCATAAAGGCCTTCATCCCCATTATCTTAACTGTTCAGTAGGCAGAAGAGTAGAGTTGGTCTCACTGTCTCAGGAATGGCAGAGGCAGATGAGGTAGAGAGGGTGAAAGGAGAGGCAGGAGAGGCTAACACATTCCGTGTAACTTTACAGAAATACACCATAATTTGTCTGACTTTTCTACCTTTTCATTTCTCTAAAAATGTTTCTGTATGACACCAATTCTTCTTCCACTATTTGCTTTAGTTTCATTGATGTATCATAGAAGGGTCTATGTCATAAGTCAAAAGCAGGCCGGGTACAGTGCCTCACGCCTATAATCCCAGCACTTTGGGAGGCCAGCGCGGGTAGATCACCTGAGGTCAGGATTTCGACAACAGCCTGGCTAACATGGTGAAACCCCGCCTCTATCAAAAAAATACAAAAATAAGCTAGGCATGGTGGTGCACACCTATAGTCCCAGCTACTTGGCAGGCTGAGGTGGGAAAATTGCTTGAACCTGGAAGGTGGAGGTTGCAGTGAGCTAAGATCGTGCCATTGCACTCTAGCCTGGGTGACAAAGTGAGACTTCCAACTCAAAACAAAACAAACAAACAAGAAAACCTCAAAAGCAGTCCTGAATAATTAGAACCCTTCTGGCAGATTGTCTAATGTCAATTTGTTTTCTGACATTACTTCTTCGTTGTCTTGCACTGGTTTGAAAGCACTCACATCCATCCCAGTCGTCTTCTGTTAATTCCTCTGTTGTGGTTTCTATTAACTCTTGAATTTCTCCAAGATTCGCATCTTGAAATCCTTCACCTCCAACCTTTTTTTGCCATATCTACAGTCTCTTTCATGATTTCCTTGATTGGCTCTGCCATAAATCCTATGAAATTATGTATACCATGTTTTTCTTCAGCAGGAATTATTTCAGGCTTGATGGCTTTCATGGCTTTTTCTATAAAAATGATGGTAACTTCAACTGTGTAATCCTTCCAGACTTTCATAATGTTCTGAAGTTCTCTACCACAGCATTGAGAACCCTTTCTATAGTGTATGTAATGTTCCTTAGAGGTTCTTATGCTCCCTGATTTAGAAGCTGAATTAGAAACATAGTGTTTAGGGGCAAATAAGACTACTTCCATGTCTTTGGTGTTGAACTTCCATGCTCCTGGGTAGCTAGCGGCATTGCCTAGTATTAAAAAGACTTTAAAAGGCAGTCTCTTACCAGCAAATTACTTTCTGACTTCAGGGGCAAAGCATTGATGGATCCAGTTTAGAAAAAGGGTTCTCAAAGGTGCATTCTTACTGTAAAACCAAAGACTGGCAGTTGGATATATTTCCCCTTGAAAGCTCAGGGATTAGCAGCTTTATGGATAAGGGCAGTCCTGACTGTAAATCCGACTGTGTTTTCACAAAATAGTAGATTTAGCCTATCTCCTCCTGCCTTAAATCCCGGTGCTTGCATCTCTTCCTTACTTTTGTGGCATCATGGTCTTCTAGAATAGGGCACTTCTGTCTGCATTAAAAGTCTGTTCAGGAAGATACCCTTTCTCCTCAATGATTTTCTTAATGGTATCTTGGGACTGATCTGCTGCTTTTTGATCAGCAGAAGGTACTTCTCCTATCTTGGCATTTTTAAAGCCAAACCTCTAAAACTATCAAACGATCCTTTGCTGGAATTAAATTCTCCAGCTTTAGATACCTCACCTTTCTTTTAAATTGTCATATAATGAGTTTCCTTTTTCTCAAATCATATTAGCATCTGTAAGTATGCCTTTCTTATAGCAATCCTGCATTCACATAAAAGCTGCATTCTCAATGACACAAAAAGGTATTTTGCAAAAAGCACAAGGTTTTGGTACCTGCTAGAGTATGTGCAGTTGGTAGTTTCACAAATTTCTTTTTTTTTTTTTTTAAGAGCCAAGATTTTATTCTGTTGCCTAGGCTGGAGTGCAGTGGTGCAATCATAGCTTACTACAGCCTCGAACTCCTGGGCTCAAGTGATCCTCTTCTCTCAGCCTCCTAAGTAGCTGGGACTACAGGTGCACCCCACCACGCCTGGCACCGTTTTTTTTTTTTTTTTTTTTTTTTTTTAAACCAAGATCCTTCAGCTGGATTCATTTATTTTGAAATGGTGGACAACCACAGCTGTACACCTCAATCTACATATCAAGCAATGCAACTTTTTCTTGTCATGTCATGACTTTTCTCTGCTTCTTGGGAGCACTTCCACCATCATTCTATGGTATTAATCAAGGTTTACTGTTTTGCGTTAAACATGATGGAAAATATGCAACTACCTAGAGAACATTGTTTTAATGCTTATTTAAATATCTACCTATATCTAAATACAAGATTAGCATCACATGGCATTTTAAGTGAATATTTCCAACCCTTGAACTCGTCACAATGGCAACACAAGGTAGCTACAAAATTATCAGGGTTGTACAATATGCACTACAGTTAATTTTATATAGTTATGATTTAATAGTGCAACTTTATCTCTGTTCACATTTCCCTGGACTGTGAATGGTGCCATGTAGTCTGTGTCTGTGTGCAAATTGTTTTGATAAATTGTAATTTAAAAAATAAATTTGTGTATATTTTATGGTAATAAATGATAAAATGCCCTAGTACTGACAATTTTATGCATCCATGACATGCCAACTTTTTCTTAACTTCTGATATTTCTAAGCTACAGTTTGCAAGTTTTTTCAAACTGCTGCAAATCTCCAAAAATTTTTCTGATATACTTATTGAAAAAAAGAAAATCAGCTTAGAAGTAGACCCACACAGAGTTCAGACTCATGTTGTTCAAGGATCAACTGTACGTTTTTCAAATGCCTGTCACCACTAATGTATTCTATTCCCCATGATTTCACTGAAAATTTACTAGCGGTTTAAAACAAATAAATACAAACAAATATAAAATGCAAAAGAATATTTACTTCCCAAGATGCTAGAATGACAATCTGGTTGGAATCTAAACATAAAACCACCAGCAACACAAATAGCTTATATAGTGTCAACTAACACAGTTTTAGGCATTTCATTCAGTACTTGTTGATATATGACAACATATCTTTATATTCAAGTGGAAATGTATCTTTATATTCAAGTGTATGTATGACTGCTTCTTGGAGAATTAGTCCTAGAAATGATGTGGATGTAAGGACAAGCAGAATGTGCTATATGCTTATTTAAATATCTATATCTAAATATAAATCATCAGGATTGATACTAAAATTCCAATGCTACAAACATGTTATTTCTTATTTCCTTGACCCCTATCTGAAGTGACACCTTCTTCAACTTCGGGTCTCCATTTTTATCACTTTCCTTCCACATATACTTTATCTACTTTAAGGTACCCTCCCCATCTCTTCCTTGCTTCCTGCATTCCAAAAAACCTCCCTGCATCTCATTTTCACATAACTATGATCCACACTGGTAAAGGGACATAAAAATGTTCCTACCATTTATAGACAAACTTGCAGATGCAGGGATTTAATTCAGGGATCAACACTGTACAAGAAGGAGAATTTCACCAACTCACCTTCCCAGCTACAAATGGCATATCACCCAAGCATAATCTATAATGTGGTTGTGCACCGAAATAGTTCTTAGAACTTTTCTGAATGAAAAGAAAAGGAAAACAATTTTATTTTATTCACATGATAATAAACACTGACTGTACAAGAGTAACTTGAAACTTCAGTTAAGTACTGGGCAACTACTTGCCTTATCTATTGCTGGCATATTGGTCATGAGCCAGCTCCTAACAGTACTTATCAATGTATCCTAGCCTAGGAAAGGCTGGGGGGAGAAAACACTTGACAAAGCAACAGTTACACTCTAAGTAGAAAATCAGTACACATACACTTAAAACATTGTTAACAGCACAAGATAATGCGGTACTAATTATAATGCTACTCTTGTATGCACAGTAGGTATAACTTAGCTCCATCTTCTGAATGAAGAAATTGAGAATGAAAGATTTACTCTCCCAAGGTTGTAGTATACCACAGTTTATGGGTGTTCTGACATAAACTATACCAAGTAATCTGCACTTTGCCTGATTTGGTTGTTTTCACACCTTTTCTGGTGGTTTTGACTTCTTTTTTTTAATTCTTCTTGCATTGGGAACACGTGGAGTTGCCTTATCTTCAAAGATAAGTCTATTTGTTTCTAGACCAGTCTGCAACTAGGAAAAATAAGAGCCTAAGGTTAATGCTGTAGAAATAAAAGCTATGACTCAAATTTGAGATGTGTCATGTAAAAAGCCTATAAAAATCAATGGTGGTATCTAACTGAAAAACGTATTATAGTTGTGTAACTATGTCTTGAGCCAATCTATCAACATTTGTCAAATATTTTAAATCAATACCAGTCTCAACTACTTTGTTACAATTTGTCCTTTTTTCAGTGCGGAACACATTACCCACAGTATTTGTAGTTACTCCATAAATTCTATCAAACAAGTAAACGCAACGTATCTAACTCCAAACCATTACTTCAGTATTTTCTCTTTTCAAAAATGACATCTACTACATTGCCAGACACAATACAGCCAAAGAGCAGAATATATTTCTTTCCCTTCTAAAAAGCGATGCACTTACTGTATATAATAAAAAGGAACTGAAAACTTATATCCAAAAAATCCCAAAACAAAAAAACAAAAAACAACTGGAAGCTCTCAGGCAAATATTACCAAGCCCTTTTCTCTAGAAGCTTAGTAACTATACTAATTTTAAAATATCCTATCTTCATGGTACAAATTCCACAAGGACTTGCTAAGAATTTCAAAAGAGGACTGCTCTTTTCACTAAGCCAACTTACAACTTTCCTTTTTTAAAAAAACACCTGTCTAGAATAGTTGTTGTTTCAAATCTGCCTATATATACCAAAACTGTCTGCAGTTTATGAGAACAATTTGGATTGCTAGGCACCTGTTCAGACCTCATGACTTTGGGCCTTCCAGGTTGAAGAAATTCATATTTTAAAGTATTTTAAAAGTTCCCCAGGAAATTATAATGGAGCTGGAACAGATACTTAGAACCAGTGGATTCCGTAAAAACAAATGCTGAGATTATCACTAATACTTCCCACATGACTGCACGCTTTGGGGAAAAAAATTTATTCTGTGAAAAAGGAATACAGTAAACAACAATATCCTCAGTAAACAACTATACACTCCCAATACATCTAACATTGCTTCATACATAGTAAATTGACTAGACATAATTCAAGGAACAGGAAATTACTACTCTAGAAGACTTATGATGTCAATGAGTATAAACAGTATACAAGAATACTTTTGAGTATTATCACTTCGTTTATTTAGCTCTTCCCAGCAGCTGCCTTATTGTGTGCTACAGTTTTAAAACATTTTAAAGCACTTTCATTATTTTTTACTCTCATGTGATTGCCCCAACACCAAGAAGATGTAAAATGTGGAACAGGCCTTTTTATTTTTTAGATAGAGTTTTCCTCTTGTTGTCCAGGCTGGAGTTTAATGGTGTGATCTTGACTCATTGCAACCTCCACCTTCCAGGTTCAAGTGATTCTCCTGCCTTAGCCTCCCAAGTAGCTAGGATTACAGGCATGCATCACCACACCCGGCTAATTTTGAATTTTTAGTAGAGACAGGGTTTCACAAGGTTGGCCAGGCTGGTCTTCAACTCCTGATCTCAGCAGATCACTCTTTATCAATGGCAAAAATCCAGGCTCTGAATAATTACATAAATTGTCCAACGCTAGAATTGGAACCACATATCTAACCCTCATTGCTCTTTCAGTACAATAATGTTCACCATCAGAACTCAAAATATTTACTGGTAATATATTACCAGCAACAACTAATTTGGTCCCTATGTGTTGCCTGGTAAATGAAGGAGAAAACTGAAGTAACATAAATTATTTTAAAAATTCATTAAATAAGGAACTTATTAAATTTTGTATTTCATATATAATGTACTCAACACCACAATGCATACAAAGCACAACCCACGTTTGTTTGTTACAAGTATAGAAATGAAGACAGTGAAGTGTCCATCAACTCTAAAGAGAAAACGGGCAAAGAAAATCTGTTGGTCAAAAATTAAGCCATGTGGCTATATAACTCAGAAAGCACACTGAAAAACAGTAACAGTAAATCTGCAAATTGATCAGAAGGTAAAAATATTTGAGAAGAAAATATATCAGGTACAATAGACAGAAAATAAGTCAATAAATTTAGAGAAGCACTAGAAGAAATAGACAAGGTAACAAAGATGAGATAATGTTTATATTCCTGTAATCACATATATGAAGTGAGCCCAAGACACTGTAGGCTTTTGGTCACAGATTGAGCTGCAGAGGCTCTACTTCTTTGGAATCAGGACCTGATTCTTGTGTTCATACAAAAAAAGATACATGCAAACGTCATAAAAATAAAAGACCCTGGAAGGGGTAAGGGAGCATCTGGGAGGAATTTGAGCAATTAAACTCTTGAGTGTCTTCAGTTAAAAACATGACAATTTTATTTTACTGAGTCTGTAAGTCAGAGTTACTTCAGTGTCTTGCTATGTATCTCCTAGAAATGCAGTTCTGGTTGGTATATATAAATTCAATGCTTTTGTGAATCCAAACTGCCTCACCTATTCTATCTGATGGCCACTGCATGGGACAAAATCCAAAACAGGGAGACAGTAGAGGACATTTTCCTCATGTGATGGCTTCTGTTAACTGGTCTGGGTCATTAGCTACTGGGGCAGCCCACTACATCAACTTCTGTCCTGGTGTTTTGAGGCCACCAAAGAAAAGAAGTACCTGTAAGTGAGATACTGAAAGATAGCTTTTAAATATTTCTGAAAGTGGCCATAATAAGAAATTTTACATGATTACATACCTTCTTATGTGTATAGTCTCTGATATTTTTTTTAGTCTTTTTTAAAATGTTGAACTCCACAATTACAAACATGCTAAAAAATTGTTCAAATTTTACTGTCTATAAAAATACTTGTTCATAATTTTCTGCATTAATCTACATCTGAAAATTTATATGTTGGACTATTCTAAAATATAAATAATGTAAGATACCCAAATGTAATTGTTTACTTCTACATAAAAAGTGGTAAGAAATATGAAGGGCCCACTTTCTCACATTTTAACTTACCTCGGCTGCCTTAGCTTGCATGCGTTTCCTTTCCTGCTCTTCTTCATGGAGTTTTGCTTCTAACTCTTGCATTTTTTTCTAATGATAAAAATATCAAAAGGAATAATAGTGAAAAATTTTAAGTGTCCATAAAATTTTATTATAGCAGCATAGGAACATGTAAATTTTATCCTAGTCAACATAAGGTGGTTAGATCACTGTAATAATGGGGGCTCTGAGCTGGACAGCATCCATGATGCTCTCCTCCTTTGTGTTCAATTATTTTGTCCATTTAGCTGGACAAAATTATGAGTAAAATCTACGGCCAAAGAACACAGCACTGTATGAATGTAAATAGGGATATAAAGGCTAAATCTGGAAGTTTATTCTCAGTGGTATTAAATATTAAATATCTTTCAAGTGAAATAATTAAAACTAAAATTAGCTCAGGGAGCAACTTAACTTAAACCTAGCGATACATGCCTTAAAAATACTCAAAAACATTTAATTTTTTAAAAAACATTTTCATAAAGAATTCCCTCTTGCCCACCAAGATTGTAAAATGTGAACATTCTCTCCAAATTTATATTTTCTTTTTAAAACTCCAATAGATTTCATTTTAAGATCATTTTTGATGCTATAAATATCCAGTGATACAAAATAATTAACATTGAAAAAATACCCTGATACATGTTAACAATAAAAAGATACATGCACTGACTTCTGCAAGGGCCTGCATTGTGGTAAGTTTGTTATACTCCTGTTCAAGAAGATCCAATTTTTCAAGCTGGCTCTGAACATGTGTTTGACCATGCTGTCGTTCTCTTTCTAGGGAAACCTGAAAAACAATATTCAATACAACTTGGTAATTTGACAATCAAAAAACAGAAAAACACTGACACATCAGACTATGCTGTTATTTGTCTGGCCTTTCACAGAACTACTTCTAGGAAAATAAGATTAAGATGAAACCACAGGGGGCATCAATAAATGACTGATGTAAGTAGATACTATTCTTACCTCAGTTGCCTTAGATTGTAGCTATTTACCCAATATGTAGTTTTATATAGTGATATTATCTTTATGCTCTCGGATAGCAGGGATATATTGGACATCTAGGCTGCACACACAGACAATACTTTTAATTTGATCCTCTTAAATAAGTGAATCTCTTACTTAGGGTAAAAATTATGGTTTTGAAATCTATCTTTTCATATTTCCTTTGAATTCTATGTAAAATATCCTTTTAAACTTTTTTTTTTTTTTCAAGTTTAGAGTCAAAGATTTGTAAAGACTGCCTCCTATATAGGTTATTTTTTTGAGACGGGGGTCTTGCTCTGTCACCCAGGCTGGAGCGCAGTGGCATGACCCTGGCTCACTGCAACTTTTGCATACTGGGTTCAAGCAATTCACCTGCCTTAGCCTCCCTAATAGCTGGGATTACAGGCATCTGCCACCACACCTGGCTAATTTTTGTATTTTTAGTAGAGAAGGGGTTTTACCACATTGGCCAGGATGCTCTCGAACTACTAACCTCAAGTAATCCACCTGTAAACCATTATACTAGGATGAGTTGAAACAGACTAACTCAAGGTCTATTATTGGTAGAAAGTGCCTAAACTTGTAAACCGTGTCATAAGGCTATAATAATAGGTATCATATTAACAGGAATTTGAATATGACAAATTAATATGAAGCAGTAATTTAATCAGGAATTCACGTCAACGTATTCCCTTCTATCTATATCCTAGTAGATATTAACAGCTCTTGACATCTATTATATATAACTAATAGTTGTCTCTGAGATATATATTAGTCAAAACATCTTAAAGTTGTTTTCTTAAACTGACCCCTTTCTCCAGCCCATCCATCACAGTAATGTCAGACAAACACAGCAGCAACAATAATAATATGATTACTGATGTGGTATGGCTCTGTGTCTTCACCCAAATCTCATCTTGAATTGTAATCCAAATTGTGATCCCCACGTTTTGAGGGAGGGATCTCACGGGAGGTGATTAGATCATGGGGGTGGGTTCCCCCCATGCTATTCTCATGATAGAGTTCTCACGAGATTTGATGGTTTTATAAGGGGCTTTCCCCCACTTTACTCTGCACTTCTCTCTCTTGCCACCATGTGAAGGACATGTGTGCTTGCCTTTCCACTGTAACTGTAAGTTTCCTGACAGAACTGTGAGTCAATTAAACCTCTTTCTCTTATAAATTACCCAGTCTTGGGTGCTCTTTATAGCAGCGTGAGAATGGACGAATACAATTACACAGCTATTTTGAAAGCAAGAAAGGAAAACCTTCAGATACAAAAAAAGAAAGCAAATGAAAGTATACTGAAATCAAATATTACATAAGGCAATACTGAAATCAGGGTATGTAAAATGTGCAGGAACACAATATAAAACTTTAGGTGATATATAATCTACAATGATCAACAATATCAAGCCAATATAATAACATAAATCTGCATCAGAACCAGTGATTTTATTTTATTGACTGATTGATTGATAGACTGTAGAGACCTGGACTCGCTGTGCTGCCCTGGCTGGTCTCAAACTCCTGTACTCAAGTGATCTGCCTGCCTTAGTCCCCCAAAGTGCTGTAATTACAGGTGTGAGCCACTCTGCCCAGCCAGAGCCAGTGAAAACTATAAAGTCTAAGCAAAGGGAAATTTACAACCAGCTCATAAGGCTGCCCACACAACTAAGGAATTTATTGTGGAATTTCCACAATATAAAAAATGGGATCACCATATAACTTTTCTTTATTAAAAAAAAGTTCCACTCTCTGGGCAGGGCATCTCTGCAAGAAAGGCAGCAACCCCAGTCAGGGGTTCATAAAACTCCCATCTCCCTAGGACAGAGCACCTGGGGAAGGGGTGGCAATGGGCGGAGCTTCAGCAGACTTAAACAACGCTACCTGCCAGCTCTGAAGAGAGCAGCAGATCTCCCAGCACAGCGCTCAAGCTCTGCTAAGGGACAGACTGCCTGCCTCAACTGGGTCCCTGACCCTGGTGCCTCCTGATGGGAAGACACCTCCCAGCAGGAGTCGACAGATACCTCATATAGGAGATCTCCATCTGGCAGCTCATGATGCCTCTCTGAGATGAAGGCTCCAGAGGAGGAACAAACTTTGCTGTTCTGCAGCCTCTACTGGTGATACCCAGGCAAACAGGATCTGGAGTGGACCTCTAGCAGGACCACAATGAAGGAAAACTAACAAACAGGAACAGCATCAACATCAACGAAAAGGCCGTCCACTCAGAAACCCCATCCAAAGGTCACCAACATCAAAGACCAAAGCTAGATAAACCCACCAAGATGAGGAAAAACCAGCTCAAAAAGGCTAAACATTCCAAAAACCAGAACCCCTCTTCTCCTCCAAGGGATCACAACTCCTTGCCAGCAAGGGAACAAAGCTGGATGGAGAATGAGTTTGACGAATTGCCAGAAGTAGACTTCAGACAGTAGATAATAACAAACTCCTCTGAACTAAAACAGTATGTTGTAATCCAATGCAAGAAAGCTAAGAACTTGAAAAAAGTTTAGAGGAATTGCTGACTAGAATAACCAGTTTAGAGAAGAACATAAATGACCCAACAGAGCTGAAAAACACAGCATGAGAAACTTTGTGAGGCATACACAAGTATCAATAGCTGAATCGATCAAGCAGAAAAAGGATATCACAGATTGAAGATCAACTTAATGAAATAAAGTGTGAAGACGAGATTAGAGAAAAAGAATGAAAAGGAACAAACAAAGCCTCAAAGAAATATGCAACTACCTGTATGTGAAAAGACCAAACTTCAGACTGGTGTACCTGAAAGTGACAGGGAAAATGGAACCAAACTGGAAAACATTCTTCAAGATATTATCTGGGAGAACTTCCCCAACTTAGCAAGACAGGCCAACATTCAAATTCAGGAAATAAAGAGACCACCACAAAGATATTCCTCAAGAAGAGCAACCCCAAGACACATATTGTCAGATTCACCAAGATTGAAATGAAGGGAAAAAATGTTAAGAGCAGCCAGAAAGAAAGGTCAGGTTATCCACAAAGGGTAACCATAAGACTAACAGCAGATCTCCTGGGAGAAACCCTACAGGAAAGAAGAGAGTGGGGGCCAATATTGAACATTCTTAAAGAAAAGAGTTTTCAACCCAGAATTTCAGATCCAGCCAAACTAAGCTTCATAAGCTAAGGAGAAATAAAATCTTTTACAGTCATGCAAATGCTGAGAGAATCTGTTAAGACCAGGCCTGCCTTACAAGAACCCCTGAAGGAAGCACTAAACATGGACAGGAACAACTGGTAACAGCCACTGCAAAAAACATACCAAACTGTAAAAACCATTGACACTATGAAGAAACTGCATGAACTAATGGGCAAAATAACCAGCCACCATGATGACAGGATCAAATTCACACATAAAAATATTAACCTTAAATGTAAATGGGCTAAATACCTCAATTAAAAGACACAGACTGGCAAACTGGATAGAGTCAAGACCCATCAGTGTGCTGTATTCAGAAGACCCATCTCACATGTGAAGACACAAACAGGCTCAAAATAAAGGGATGGAGGAAAATTTATCAAGCAAATGGAAAGCAAAAAAAGAAGAGGTTGCAATCCTAGTCTGATAAAACAGACTTTAAACCAACAAAGATCAAAAAAGTCAAAGGGCATCATACAATGGTAAAAGCATCAATGCAACAAGAGCTAACTATCCTAAATGTATATGCACACAATGCAGGAATACCCAGATTCATAAAGCCAGTTCTGAGAGACCTACAAAGAGACTTAAACTCCCACAAAGTAACAGTGAGTGACTTTAACTCCCTACTGTCAATATTAGACAGATCAATGAGACAGAAAATTAACAAGGGTATTCAGGACTTGAACTCAGCTCTGGACCAAGCAGACCTAAAGGACATCTACAGAACTCTCCACCCAAAAATCAACAAAATATGCATTATCCTCAGCACCACATTGCACTTATTCTAAAACTGACTACATAATTGGAAGTAAAACACTCCTCAGCAAATGCAAAAGAACAAAAATTATAACAGTCTCTCAGACAACAGTGCAATCAAACTAGAACTCAGGATTAAGAAACTCACTCAAAACCACACAGCTACATAGAAACTTAACAACCTGCTCCTGAATTACTATTGGGCGTATAAAGCAGAAATAAGTAAGTTTTTTAAAACCAATGAGAACAAATACACAACGTACCAGAATCTCTGGGACATAGCTAAAGAAGTACTTAGAAGAAAGTTTACAGCACTAAATGCCCACAGGATAAAGCAGGAAAGATCTAAAATTGACACCCTAACATCACAATTAAAAGAACTAGAGAAGTAAGATCAAATACATTCAAAAGCTAGCAGAAGACAAGAAATAACTAAGATCAGAGCAGAACTGAAGGAGACAGAGACATGAAAAATCACTTAAAAAAGCAAAGAATCCAGGTGCTGGTTTTTTGAAAAGATCAACAAAATACATAGATTGGCAGCCAAAGTAATAACGAAGAAAAAATAATCAAATAGACACAATAAAAAAGATAAAGACAATATCACCACCGATCCCACAGAAATGCAAATTACCATGAGAGAATACTATAAACACGTCTATGCAAATAAACTAGAAAATCTAGAAGATACGGATAAATTCCTAGACACATACACCTGCCCAAGACTAAACCAGTTTGAAATCAAAACCCCGAATAGACCAGTAACAAGTTCTGAAATTGAGGCAGTATCAGTAGCCTACCAGCCAAAAAACGTCCAGGACCAGATGGATTCACATCCGAGTTCTACCAGAGGTATAAAAACAAGCTTGTACCATTTCTACTGAAACTATTCCACACAAAAGAAAAAGGAGGACACCTCCCTAACTCATTTTATGAGGTCAGCATTATCCTGATACCAAAACCTTGCAGAGACACAACAAAAAAAGAAAATTTCAGGCCAATATCCCTGATGAACATCGATGCAAAAATCCTCAATAAAATACAGGCAAACCGAACCCAGCAGCACATCAAAAAGCTCATCCACCACCATCAAGTCAGCTTCAACCCCGGGATGCAAGGCTGGTTCAACATATGCAAATCAGTCAACGTAAACCATCACATAAACAGAACCAATGACAAAAATCACAAGTATCTCAACAGATGCAGGAAAGGCCTCTGATAAAATTCAACACCCCTTCATGCTAAAAACTCTCAATAAACTAGATATTAATGGAATGTATGTCAAAATAATAAGCGCTATTTTTGACAAACAGCCAACATCATACTGAATGGGCAAATACTGGAAGCGTTCCCTTTGAAAACCAGCACAAGACAAGGATGCCCTCTCTCACCACTCTTATTCAACATAGTACTGGAATTTCTGGCCAGGGCAATTAGGCAAGAGAAAGAAATAAAGGGTATTCAGACAGGAAAAAAGGAAGTAAAATTGTTTCTGTCTGCAGATGACACGAATGTATATTTAGAAAACCCCACTGTCTCAGCTCAAAATCTCCTTAAGCTGATAGGCAACTTTAGCAAAGTCTCAGGACACAAAATCAATGCACAAAAATTACAAGCATTCTATATACCAATAATAGACAAACAGAGAGCCAAATCATGAGTGAACTCCCATTCAATATTGCTACAAAGAGAATACCTCAGAATACAACTTACAAGTGATATAAAGGACCTCTTCAAGGAGAACTAAAAACCACTGCTCAAAGAAATAAGAGTGGACACAAACAAATGGAACAACATTCCATGCTCATGGACAGGAAGAACCAATATTGTGAAAATGGTCAGACTGCCCAAAGTAATTTATAGATTCAATGCTATCCCCAGCAAGCTACAATTGACTGTCTTCACAGAATTAGAAAAAAACTACTTTAAATTTCATATAGAACCAAAAAAGAGCCCATACAGCCAACACAATCCTAAGCAAGAAGAACAAAGCTGGAGGCATCATGCCATCTGACTTCAAACTACACTACCGAGCTACAGTAACCAAAACAACATGGTACTGGCACCAAAACAGATATATAGACCAATGAAACAAAATAGAGGCTTCAGAAATAACATCACACATCTATAACCATCTGATCTTTGATGAACCTGATAAACAAAAACAAGCAATGGGGAAAGGATTCCCTATTTAATAAATGATGTTGGGAAAACTGGCTAGCCATATGCAGAAAACTGAAACTGGACCCCTTCCTTGCACCTTATACACAAACTAACTCAAGATGCATTAAAGACTTAAATGTAAGACCTAAAACCATAAAAACCCTAGAAGAAAACCTAGGCAATACCATTCAGGACATACGCATGGGCAAACACTTCATGACTACAACACCAAAAGCAATGGCAACAAAAGCCAAAATTGACAAACAGGATCTAACTAAAGAGCTTCTGCACAGCAAAAGAAACTATCATCACAGTGAACAGACAACCTACAGAATGGGAAAACATTCTTGCACTCTATCCATCTGACAAAGGGCTGATATCCAGAATTTACAAGGAACATAAACACATTCACAGGAAAACAAACAATCTCATCAAAAAGTGGGCAAAGTATATGAACAGACACTTTTCAAAAGAAGACATTTATGTGGTCAACAAACATGAAAAAAGCTCATCATCACTGGTCATTAGGGAAATGAAAATCAAAACCACAATGAGATACCATCTCGCGCCAGTTAGAATAGCGATCATTAAAAAGTCAGGAAACAACAGATGCTGGAGAGGACGTGGAGAAACAGGAATGCCTTTACACTGTTGGTGGGAGTGTAAATTAGTTCAACCATTGTGGAAGACAGTGTGGTGATTCCTCAAGGATCTAGAACCAGAAATACTGTTTGACACAGCAATTCCATTAATGGGTATACATCCAAAGAATTATAAATCATTCTACTATAAAGACACACGCACACATATGCTTATTGGAACCAACCCAAGTGCCCATCAATGATAGACTGGATAAACAAAATGTGGCACATATACACCATGGAATTCTATGCAGCCATAAAAAAGGATAAGTTCTTGTCCTTTGAAGGGACACGGATGAAGCTGGAAACCACCATTCTCAGCAAACTAACATAAGAACACAAAACCAAACACCACATATTGTCACTCATAAGTGGAAGTTGAACAATGAGAACATATGAACACAGGGAGGGAAACATCACATACCAGGCCTGTCAGGGGCTAGGGGAGGGATAGCTATAGAAGAAATACCTAATTTAGATGATGGGTTGATCAGCAGACCACCATTATACATGTGTTAATAGGCACATGTATACCTATTAACAAACCTGCACGTTCTGCACACGTATCCCAGAACTTAAAGTATAATAATAATTTTTAAAATAGGAAAAAACAGTTCCCATAAAAAAATAAGATATCATAAGGGAGAATCAATAAAGACAAATGAATGAGGATTAACAATTTGAAAATATCAAATAATTTTTAAAAACCTAAGAATTGTTTATAGTGTTCAAAGAGATAAAGGGAAGGAACAAAAACCACAGAGTAACAGTACAATCTAAGAACAAAACTAAGTGGATGGAAAATGAAAAAATATAATCACTAAAATAAACCCAATAACATAGTGAAGAGACCTATAACACACGAGAATTAATTACTGAGGCATTTTCTCAAATATTGTTGTATGATTGCTCAAATATTTAATTCTCTCCAACAAGGACTGAAAGCTGATTGAGAGTAGAAAACATATACGGTAAGCCCTCTGTATCTGTGGATACAGATCGAATCCATGGATTCAATCAACTGTGGTTTGAAAATATGTGAGAAAAAAGCAAAAAAGCATGGTTGAGTCTGTACTAAACATACACAGATTTTTATTCTTAACATTATCCCCCAAATAATATAGTATAGCAAGTATTTACATGGCATTTACACTGTATTAGGTATGATAAGTAATCTAAAGATAATTTATAGTATATGAGAGATTGAGTATAGGTTATATGCAAATACCACACCATTTTGTAAGACACTTGAGCATCCTTGGATTTTTTTTTGAGACACAGCCTCACTCTGTCGCCAGGCTGGTGTGCAGCGGCGTGATGTCGGCTCACCATAACCTCTGCCTCCTGGGTTGAAGCCTCAGTCTCCCGAGTAGCTGGGACTACATGTGGGCATCACCATGCCCAGCTATAATTTTTGTATTTTTTAGTAGAGACGGAGATCCACAGGGGTCTCAGAACCAATTCACTCATGAATACGGAGGGACAACTGCCTGGTATTTCTTTTTTTTTTTTTTTACACTGCAGGGCATCTAGCATAAACATTAAGCTTATAAACATTAAAATTTCGCTTAATAGAGTTAAGATGTCCACAAGCTAGCATTGGTAATAAATTCAAATTCTAGATTTGTAACAGGAAAAGAAGTTTTTAAAAATATATGCAAGGCTGCACACAGTGGCTCATGCCTGTAATGCCAGCACTTTGGGAGGCCGAGGCGGCCTGGTCACTAGAGGCCAGGAGTTTGAGATCAGCCTGGCCAACATGGTGAAACCCCACCTATACTAAAAATACATATACACAAAAAAGCCAGGCATCGTGGCAACCACCTGTAATTCCAGCTACTAAGGAGGATGAGGCATGAGAATCACCTGAGCCCAGGGTGGAGGCTGGAGTGAACTGAGATCATGCCATACACTCCAGCCTGGGTGACAGAGTGAGACTATTTCTAATCAACCAATCAATCAATTTGAGACTGATGTTGCAGCTATCTTCTTACAAATGTGCAGGTTACCTAAATACAAAGACCTCTGATGTAAGAAAGCACAAAAATGCTATGCTAAATAACAATTCTCAAGAGTTTTAGAAAGTATAAACAACTTTCAAATCTGCTATCTCCCTGAGCCAATGAACAAATTTCAGAGGTACAGAGGTATAAGGTTATTTACACTTTTTATAATGTAGACTCAAAGAAGCTGACATAACTGTAAAACACCTCATAACTAACTGTATTTTTCCAGTTTAAGTAAAACGCTATCAAACACAATAATAACAACAAAAAAAGCCAATCACATCTTTAGATTTCATAACTGATGTCAAGAAATTTCAGTCCTGGGCTGTAATAGCACCATTAGTCCTCACTGAGAGAAAAAATAAGTCTTTATTCAATTAGTTTTCCCCGTAACTAACTGTTCTTGAGTATCAGTCTATGAGGAGTTTTACTTACTTGTTTCTCTAAGACAGACGTCCGCTCCATTTCTGCATGCTTTATCATATTTCTCATGTATTCCAATTGTTTTTCTAACAGGCTGCATTTATTTTCTGCAGCTAACAACTGAGATGTCAGTTCTAAAAAGAATAGAAAAGCAGAAGTCAACTCACGAAGAAAATAGTTTTAACAACTGTTAACAGGAATTGAATCTACTGTGTACACAAAAACACCTTCCATACACCTAAAAGCCTTTTCAGATTACCTAAATCATTCTCTTTTTACATGCTAGTCAAATCAGCCTTGCATTCAGTAAGTAAATACAATGTATGACAACAGCACTTGCTCCTCAAAATGCACCCAAATACAATGCAGTTTTGTAGTACTTGAAGATACCACTACAAAACACTAATGTATTTTTTTTTTTTAGAATACTTAACACTTCACCACACTTATTTTGACAGAATTTAATTTTCTTCATAATTAAACAAACCTTGATTGTGCTTTGATTCCTCATTCTTTGAATTCTCCCTTTCTTGTATCTGCTCATCTAGTACTTTCTTGTATTCACTTGTTTCTCTAGACAAGGTTTTCACACTTTCTTCTGCCTGAATCCTCTCAAGTTCCAGGCGACGAATCTTATCTTGAAGATTCTTAAGAGCAGAAAATATGGCTGCCAAATACAAACACAAACATGAATAATACAACAGCATATATGGACAAAGTATATTAAAAAAGAATAAACTCATCTAAATAAAAAATAAACTGATGGGTGAGTCCAGTGGAGGATCACTCTTGGGGAACAATAAAATGTTAATTATCTCATATTTGTTTTTTAAAAAATCAATTTAAAGACACTGAGTATTTGAAATGTTCTAGTTACTCAAGAAACCCTTATTATGGTAAAAAAAATTTCGAAGACTTTTGTAAAGTGCCAAAAAATTTAGCCAATCATACAAAGTTCACGTAACAGTCCTGAAGTACATTACTATCTTAATCATTTCGTTTTATTAATAAAAGCACCTGTAGAATCCAACTGTTAAAAACAGTCAAGCACAAAAAAAATACTATTTTCAAAATCTGCATTTTAAGTACATTATAACCCCCCCCAAGTTTGATTATAAAATTATGTTAACTGCAGTACTGTAGAAGACAGAGAAAAATACACTGAAAAATAACCAATAATCCCATTATCCAGAGGTAATGACTGGTCGTTTGGTTCTTTAAAATTTTTCCTATATGTGTAAAATAAATTGAGACAAAATATATGTAGGGTTTTTCACTTTAGGATTATTATACAGTGAGAATTCCCTCATGTATCAGTCTTAAGAGATTATCTAATAATCAGTAATTAAAAACTAAAAAAATCAAGTTACTGTGTCAAAGAACATTCACAGACATTCTAATGAGAAAAATATACTACTATTGGTGATTTTCCATTTCCACTAAAGTATAAATCTTTTCGTATACATTACTGGCCAATTTTCTCCCTTTCATGAATTTCCTTTGCCCATTTTTCTATGGGAAAAAGTTTTCTTCATTTTATTATCTGCCTTTAATTCTAGTTTGACGTACAGATGTTATGATTTTTTAAAGCAGTATACCTAACATTCTTTCCCATCATGTTTTCTTTCTTTACATACTTAGAAAGTTCTTCTCAAACTCAAGATCAGATAAACATTGTATTTTTATTATACTTATCATTTCATATGTTTACATTTAATTTGTTAAGTCATTGGAAAAGTATTTTTGAAGGAAATAAAAACTTGAAATGTCAAATTGATCATATACTAAAATCGCAAATGTATATATTAGATGCTATAATTCTTTGTTACATACATACCCTCAGACAGTTTCAGATCTTTATTCTGGATTCCTTAATAATATTAGGGAATTACTGCCAGTATTTCAATTATTAAAACTTCATAAACATTGATTCTGCCAGTCACCTGTATCACATAAATCTTAAAATGTTTCCCAACTATTCTTGCCAACTAACTATTCAGAATCATTTTGCCTAAACACTAAACTATACACTAGACTGGGAGAGCTGTTATCTTTTAAGAATTGAGTCCTCTTACTAAACACAAAGTATTCTTGTCCATTTATTAACATAATTCATTCCTTCTCCAAATTTTTTAGTGCCTAGGATATGACAGGCCTCAAATAAGACACCATTTTATTGTAATCAGCTTATTCTTGCGGGTATGCAATGAGACTACAATCTAACTGGAAAAATACGAACACGAAACACACATACAAACAAGTAGAAACCTGAAAAATCAACTGAAAAGATACTAAGAACTAAAAGAGAAGTCTAGATATAAGATTAACGCTAAAGGGAACAATTTTTTATATACCTGCAATCATCAGATAAATATAATAGAAAAATAAAATTTTAAATGTCCTTTAATGTCGAGTTTTTTTAACCTCTTCTGAACCAGAGGCAAATTTACTAAACACTTCACAATATCAAACACTTTTTGCATTCCTTCATTAAATTATACCTAAAAGTACACAATTTTGCTAATATTTTATTTCTGCATCTATATTTATTATTGAAACTAGATGGAACATTTCATTGTTGTTCTTTATGTCAGCAACTGTAGTATCACAGGGATATGCTAGGTTAACAAAAATATCCAAGGTGGGGTGTGCGCTTTCCTCTTATGTATTCTTGAATGGCTTATATATCCCTGTTTAAATGTGTAATGTTTATTGTTTTTTTAATCAAAAAATTATTGAATAAGTGCAGAAAATAATTTAGAAAACATGATTGAAAAGGAAAAGAAAATTACGCCCTAAGAAAATCTTACCATCTAGGTGTAGTAATTATTAACACTTTATTGAAATCCTTTAGATCTTAAAAATGCTTTCATATGTAAGATTTCCCTTTATTCACTGTCATATATTTACATATGAGCACACTTTAAATATAATTTATAATATTAAGCGTTTTCACTAACACCGTAATAGCTCTCATTATGTATTCAAGTCTTCATGTATGCACCTCAGTGAGCACATAAAATTGGGTTGGACTGACTTGTCAGAAGTGACTTTTTTTTTTTAATCCACAGTCTCTTTCCAAGGCCACGGCTGCAGTGTTCCAGTTCTGCTTTGACAACACTCATCATGCCCCGCTTTTCAAAGAAATATTCCAGAAGTTGCCTCACGAGGGCCTAGAGCTTTGTTCTCCAGTCTCTACTCACATTTAAAATTCCATAATCTCTGCTACTGTACCCCAACACTTAAGGCTTATACCTAATGCCAAGACTCCCAATACTGTCCCTAAAGTTTTTACCTTTAGTTCCATCCTTACTGTCCTAGCTTGAAACTTGTTTTATTTCTGTATTTTTATGTATTTTAAATTTATCTAAATTTAGGTATTTTTCCTTCTCGCTTTTAAACTAGGTATTATTTGCTTTTATTTATTATTACATGAAGCTGCTATTTTATCTATTCTGTTTGACAGTAGTGCTGTCTTCCATCCTTTTTATTTGTATGGTAGTAAGTATCTTTGTCAGCTATTTATTTTTTATGTTTCGTTTTATTTCAGGTTTTACTTAAAAAGCATTTATTGGCTTTTGAGGTGACATGATCACATTTGTCATACCTGATACATTTCACATTTTTCATTATATATTTCCTAATTTTGTTTCCTTGAATTTTTCTTATATTTTGCTATATGAAGTATAGCATATATCTTTGGAACTGTTTGCCTGACATCTACCTCTTGTTTTCGGAGTTTCCCCTTACCTCAACATGGCTATACCTACAACTTTATTATCCTTTGACAAATCTGGCTAATTGATCCACAAGGGACAACACTGAGGCCTAGACAATGCTTGTCTTCTTGGGACTTTTGTCCAAAACATCAAATCCAGATCTGGTTCAACTTAAAATAAAAAATTGTTAATAATGTTTCCTGCTAGGCAGAAAAAGCTGGTCTGTAGCTAGAAAAAATGAAGTTAGTTACAAGCCTCCCCCTTCCCCTGCCAAAAAAAAGATGGACAAAGTACCAGCCATGTTCGAGTCTCTAATGTTCTTCAAGTCCACCTGGGTCTATTTATTGCTTGGGATGTTTCTGCCATTAACATAAACACAGGTTAGTCATAGATTAAGATGGGGGGAAAAACCCAGATCCACAGTATGCATCTTTGATTTCTCCAATATTGCTGTCTTGGTAGTTCTCCACCTTTCTGACTTTTCCTACTTTTTAGTTTACTGTTTAAATGGTGGTATTTTCCAAAGCCCTTTTCTCTCTCTGCTTTCTTTCTCTGCAGAAACCCCTCTGTACTCATGGGCTTCATCCACTATTGTATCCTTGATGATGCCTGAGTTCATCAGTGCAGCATTCTCTATTACACTTCAGACTTTTCACTTGCTTATTATTCATCTCCATCTAACTCATAGGCATCTCAAATTTGATACAGCCAAAATTATATCATCAATTCCTAAGTATGCTTTTTTCTGTGATCTGTCTTAATCATATCACTAATCACCTACACTTGAAACCTCAAAGATTTATCTACCTTCCTCATTCCCGCAACAAAATATGCATAAATCTTATCTTAGTCTCCTGTTTGGTCTTGTTGCTTCAGTTTAGAGTTACTTCTGATGTAAGCCTCAGTCCAACAAACATACAGACCACATACAATGTGTGAAGCACTCTGCAAGGTGAAGGAGATAATATAATGATAATGAAGACAGTCTTTACCCTCAAGGAGCTATCGATTCTGGAACAGATGCTGCTATCTACATTTTTCTCACACCTGGAAAAAAAGTAGTTACATGAACAAAATACTATTCTGGACGTACTCATATCCTTAATTATAGTTGTTCTCAAAATGTGGGGCATAGGCACATTGAGGGCAGGGCTCATGAGGCCTTTCCCAGGGTATGTGAGGTCACCACTACTTTTATAATACTATTAATAGTAAGACTTTGCTTTTTCATTGTGTTGAAGTTTGCCAATGATGATGCAAAAGCATTGTTGGGTAAAATTCCTAATTTTAGTTCAAATCAAGGTAGTAATTATTAAACTATAATTTTTGGCACTGTATTCTTCACTTTAGGCATTGTCATAAATTCCCAGTAAGAAAAAACTAAGCCACAATTGTCCTTGATGGAGCAATAAAAATCATCAGGTTTATAAACCTTTCACACGCTGTACTCTGTACTCATTCTTTAAAGCTCAGATTATCTGTTATTTCATTCTTCCTCTGAGAGGTTTTCCTCTCCTCTAACCTCCCCAACACATACTTATCCCGGTCCCCTGCAAATGTCTTTTCAGAACTCTCTTGGTATTTGTTCATATCTCACAGCCTTTACTTTTTTTTCTGGGTGAGAAGGGGATGGTGACTTCTGTGTCTTCCCTTCCCGTTTGGAAAGAAAGTATTGTTGGATTAAAACATACACTATAAAAGGACAGTGGATTGTAATGACTATCCTGGGACATTGTTAGATTGTAATGACTATCCTGGGACACTGCTTAAACAGTTCACACCACCAGGTTCTAAAGACATAAAAGCTTATTTACTGTCTTGAAGGTTACTTTTTATCTTGTTTATTTCTCCTCTCCATCTCCTCTTCTTCCACTTCTCTTTTATTTCTTAAGACCACTGATGTTGCACTCAAACAGAATTTAGCTGTATTAGTAACATGCCTGTGCTAAAAATTTTGACTCTGTGAATATCTGCCTTCTTAATTTTTCTGATTCTTTGTTAGTAATTTGTCATTTTTTGAACTTTTTAAAAATTTCATGAGTGTAAAGATCAGAACTAGATACAATATGGTATCTAGTTGAAGGATTAATATCTAATTCTTAGATTTTGTGTTTCTGTTAGAACTTTGTTAAATGGATATTTTGCTTTGTGCTTATTTTTTTAATAAGAAACTTACTGAAACTGATTTTTGTTCTACAGTTATTTTATTATTATTTTTCGATTTTTAAATCTGTATTGTTTGAAGGTCATGCAACTTAATTTTCTTAAATTGCCAACCTGCTATACTCTGATGTATAGAACACTATCAATTGCCGTAATCATTAATTAAATCAAAATTTTCATTGTCATTGAGACACAGTATCTTATAATAAAAAGGCTTCTAGGTTAGTGATTATAGGGTACTGAAATTCTTAAAAGACATCACACTATTTAGTTACATTTATTTCAACAAACACTTCTCAGCACCCATTATAGGTTAGGATTTAAACTGGTATTTGGATATCGTCACCTACTTGGTATTTTACTGTGCAATCAGTTCAGTTTACAAAACAGTTTTATTCTGAGATTTTTAGGATACTTACAATACATATCCCATTTGAAACAAAAAAGTTCCTCAACTAATTTACAACTGCCTGTTTAGCATATGATGCCAAAAATACATTTCTTTTACCTGGAGAATCATTAACACATATAATTGTTGCAACATTAGTGACTAAACACAACTTTGTAAAAAAGGAAATGCTGTAGCATCCCAAATAAAGCAGACATTTCATTTAAACTTCACACATACATAAAGTATAAGGTAGGTATATTTTTAAAAATACAGATGAAGAAACATCTAAAAGATTAACAAATTCAATATAAGAACCATCTTTTCATTATCTGAGTGGGCCCAATCTGATAACATGACCAGAAAATTTTCTCCAGCTGTGGCTAGAGAAATATAACAGCAAAAGTCAGAGATTTGAAACACACAGAGACTCTACCTGCTGTTACTGTAGTAGACCATAAGGAAAGCATGAAGGAACAAGGAGAGTTTCCAGGAGAAAAGACTGTCCCCCCAAGTAAGAGTATGCAAAGCAACAGAATCTTAGTCCTGCAATGACAAGGAACTGAATCTCGCTAAGAATCTTAATGAGCTTGGAAGCAGATATTCCCCGGAGCATCTAGTAAAGAACAGAACCCCAGACAGCACCTTGATTTCAGTCTTGTAAGGCTCTAAACAGAGGACCCAGATGAGCCTACACAGATTTCTGACCCACAAAAAACTGAGACGACAAATATGTGGTATTGAAAGCTAAGTTCATGGTAATTTGTTAAGGCAACAAGAAAATTAATACAGATGGCAGGTTCCAGAACAAATGTATTTCAAAGTAGCCAGAAAAAAGGATGGGAAAGGTAAAAACAGAAGACATGTTAGGGATGAAGTTGGTGAGGCAGATGGGGTCTAGGTTATGAAAAATTAGGAATTTATTATGTAAGCCATGAAGAGATGCTTAATTCTGTGGAAGAGATGATGGATAATGACAAATGACAGAAATGTTGTTAACTGGGGATGTGGAGGAGAAAATGGGCAAGGAGATTAATGAGGAATGTATTATCAACATCTGGGCTACAGATGATGAATGCCTAAACCAAAGCAATGAGAACACAAAAGGGCAAAAGAACCAGTAGGCTTTTGGTATATTTCAGAAGCTAAAAAAAGGTCTTTATTCCGGACTAATAGTGGAGATGACAGAGCAGTCGCTGATGACTAAAAAGTATTTTAGCATCAGTAGTTTGGTGGATGATGATGTTTAACGGTCAATATAAGGAATACAAGAAGAGCATAATATTTTGTGGGGGCTAAAAACTGAAAGCAAAGGGGAAATACACTTTCCTTTAATTGCAAAATAATACAGGACAAAATTAAGAATTTTAAAGCAGCAAGTAAACACAAGTAACATCTATTTTGTTAGATTCGATTACCTCTGCTGTTGCTTTCTGGGTAGGCAAGTGTAGGCTTACTTGGGGAGCGTCGTAGATCACTATTAAGGAAAGGCTTATCCGATGGATACACAACGTATGGAGATGAAGAATGCCGAACCATACTTCCATTAGACCTTGATGGTTCAGCTAAGATGTTCTGAAAAATAAAGACACAAATTACCTTTCAAAAGTGTGAACCACAAATAGCAAATTTAAACCACAAATATTTATGACTGAGAACTAGACTGTCCATATAGACAACAGAAAAAAATCCACTGACTATAAACAACAGAATTCAACCATTATTTATTTTAAAGAAATACAACTTTTAAAGTGTTTCATATTAGTCTAAATATGGCCATAAGGCAGACACTATAGAAAGGAAATAATGTTCACACAACTTGAATACAACTGCTGTGCAGAAATACTTAAATGATACAATTCATGTAAATGCAGAAGTTAAAAATATATACTGTGAAATATACATTCAGAAAAATAAGTACATAATTTTACAGGACCAGAAACTGCTACAAATGACTGATCAACAAAATACTACTTAAATATTTATAGTATTCAAAACTCCAGAAAGAAAATAAGGCACTGTCATTGCCTCAAATAATTTACATTTAATTACAAAAAAAGAAAATAATTAGAAAACACTAAGGTCCATCAAACACTCAAATACAAAACTTTATTTTCACAGCATACCATTCTGTCATGAATGAGATTCTGTTAAATTTAGAATTCCACATAATAATTTCAACCCAGCAAATGCTAACTGCAGAGTTTCATTTGTTGTAGGTGACTTCCTATTGACAGATGGACCTAGACTGGGGGATGTATATAAGCTGAGGGCTAAGGTGGAAGATAGTAACTGCCAGCTGTTCAAAATTTTCAGCATCCACTTTCCTTCTTCAAAAGGCCACAGCAAACTATGTTTTTCAATTCTTACCTTTGAAGATGTCTATTTATAAAGTATCAGAATAATCTGTGTTCATTAAAGTACAAGAGCACAAAACAATCTCCTTAAACAAAGGCTATCAAGATACCTGCATTGTATTTAAATCTTATTTAAAATTAAAGCTTTTACTTTCTCGTTAAAAATTATGCAAATTTCCAGTTTATTTAAAAAAGCAAATATAAAACATTTTCTATTTATGTAAATATAAAACACACTACGGCTATGAAAATCAAAAGTGGAGACAAAAAGCTTAGCAGAGTACAGACAAGTCTTAAAAGTGGTACTCAAATAAGTGCTAAGTCTACTATAGTGTGTTCATATACCACAAAGACTAATATTTGTCATTTCCCAAGCTTAATGGCAAATTGGCATCTGGTTTTAGAGGTAACTGGAAAATAGGATGAGTTTTCAATTCTTTATAATATGGTCAAAGGTCTTGCAAAGCATCCTGAATTATTGCATAGCTTAATTTAAATATGTCACAGAGAACCTCAGGTCTTCATTGGTTATTTACAATCCACGAGAATCCTATCTAACATTCAAAGATATCAAGTGACTTGCTGACCATCCTCTGCCCAGTCGGGAATAACATTAATTATGTGATTAGCTGAATCATAAACTAGTTCCAAAATGGAACTACCTCTGTTCTACATTTTGTATGTTAGTGCACTTGCCCTTTACTCACTATTTCATATCACCCCTCATGTCCTATAAACGTTTTATTATCTGTATTTCCTGCAGTGTAAGAAAAAATGTATTTTATCTTTTGTCCTTGGTTTCAGATACAGATTCAAAAACTCCTAGAATTTCTTAAGTGATGGGGGTGTTCTTGTTAGGCTGATGAGGGGACTCAAGGTACGGTCCCTAGGATAGCTTCAGGTTTGAAGGTATCTTCTGGGAGGTGGCTGCCAGAAAAACCAACCAGTAGATTATAATGAGCTACAAATTTCATCCAGGAGTGGTGGCTCTCGCCTGTAATCCCAGCACTCTAGGAGGGTGAGGTGGACGGATCACTTGAGGTTGGTCTACAGTTCGAGACCAGCCTGGCCAACATGGTGAAACTCTCTCTCTACCTAAAATAAAAAAAATCGGCTGAGTGTGGTGGTGTGCCTTGTAATCCCAGCTACTCAGGAAGCCAAGGCAGGAGAATCATTTGAACCCAGGTGGTGGAGCGAGATTGCACCACTGCACTACAGCCAAGGGGACAGTGACACTCTGCCTGGCAAGGTGGGATGCGGCGAGGTGGGGGGAGGAAGAGTTACAAATTTCAGCCCTACACCCTGACCTCAGGGGAGGTAAGAAGCTGAGACTGAGCCCAATGACCAGGGGATAATTTACTCAATTATGTATATATGTAATGAAATCTCCATTAAAAACTCGTAAATAATGAGTTTTGGGGAGCTTCTGGATTGTTGAACATACTGATATGCTGGAAAGGTGCTGCCCCACAGAGGGTATAGAAACCCTTTCACACCTTGCCCTATGTCTCCTCCATCTGGCTGTTCCTAAGTTGTGTCCTTTATAAAATTGAAATTGCTTAAGTATAGTCTTTCCTGAGTACTGTGAGCTGTTCTTGGAAAGCTGCAGAAATCCCTTAATTTTTAGTTAGCTTGGCAGAAATGCAGATGCTGTGGGAACACTCAGGACTTTGACTGACTTGGGGGTGGGCAGTCGTGTGAAATTGAGCCCCTTAATGTATGGGTGTCTGAGCTTTATTTGGGTACTGTCAGAATTAAGATAATTGTAGGACACCCAGTTGGTGTAGGATTTTTGCTGGAGAAACCAAGTTCTAACAAATGAACTTGATTCTACTCAATAAATCTGCTGAATATTAATTATACATTTCCTCCCCAAAACAGGAAACTAAATATTATTTACAAAAGATTGTCTTTTTCAACCAAGTGACTATAACACCTTAAGAGATCAAAAGCTTTTAGGCTTCTTTATGTTTAACAAATAGCACAAATATCATAGGAAGGCTGTGTAAAAAGGAGCCTAAGTCTAACTTCCCTCTTTCCATGACTCTAAGCACTCAGTAAAAATTATTCCAACCAAAATATGATTGTAGGAGAAACTTTCAGGATTAAAGGAAAAATGTTTAACCCGATCACTATCTTTCCTGCAGCCTTTAGTTGTTAGGGCAAGTATCTCATTTAGGAACACAAAATTCAAATATTTATTTAACATCTTTTTATGACACTGTGTGAAGTATGAAGCATAATTTAAAAATGCACATAATTTGCTGTCTTTATAAGCGGAACATGCAACATAGCTGCAAGGTATTAGGTAGATTAAATTCAAATACAAAAGAGTAGGTGGGAACTGCTAAACTGGATGTAACAGAAGCTAAGCGTAAATTAAATTCTGATGCATTCAACAGAACATTGCTTCATATCAGTGTGGTAAAGGAAGGTCTTTATTAGTGTTAAAATTGATACTGGGTCTTATAGATTGATATGTATTCTGATAGGCAAACTAGAAATGGGTATGAAAAGCAATTGTTTCCAACGTTAAAGAATACATTAGTTTAGTGGGAAAAAAGAGTTTGTGTACACAAGTGGATTGAAATAAAACTGGAGAAGTCAAGGTCCAGTGATGGAAGAATGTGATGTAGAGCTCTGAGCAGTGCAATCAATGCAATAGTGTCCAAGTTTCATGTTTGAAACTAAACAAAGTTTCATGTTTCATAGTTTCAATATCCTAAACATATCAGTATACCCAAAATAAAAATCAATACGATCAACAAATATAAAAAAGCATTCAATAAAATTCAACATCCAGCCATTATTTAAAAAAATAAAAGAAAAACTATTTCCTTACGATAATATGAAGTTTTACAAAAAAACATGGCCAACATACTTAATGGTGCAAAACTTGAAATATTCCTTTTAAAATAAGAAACAAGACAAAGATATCTACATCAATTCTAGTCAACACTGTACTTCATTTCCTAGTCTGCACACTAAGATAAAAAAAAAGAATAAGATATTAAGATTGAAAAGGAAGAATCCCAATTTTAGATTATGACCATCTAAACAGAAAAAAAAATCTCAATTATGAGAATTAAGATTGCTGAATAAAATAGATACATAACAGTAATTTTATATATTAGAAAATGCAACTTATGAAAATATATATCAAACACTAGAAATAAAATGAACAAACAACATACAAGACATGAAAGTATACACATACTGAAAAATGTTAAAATTCCAAATAAACGGAGTAACATACATTCAGACAGAAGGGTCAATATCCTAAACGTATCAGTTATACCCAAATTAAGTTAGAAATTCAATAAAATATCAATCAAAATTCCAATAGCAGGTTCTAGAATTCCTACTGAAAAAAAGCAAAGGACTGATTAATATCTAATATTTATCTTGAGCAACAAGGAAGGTGACTGACCCACCTACCCCCGAGTGATTCTTAGGAGAATCACTAAGATAATGGGTATCTAAGTAGGAGAGACAAATACAACAAAGAAACAGTCGGCTAACACACCCGTACACATATGGAAATGAATATATTGGGGAAAGGATGAGTTTCCAACAAGTAGTGTGGGAACAACTGTGTATTTTAAGTAAAACCATTAAACTGAATCCCTATCTCACAGCATACAAATTAATTCCAAGTAAATTAAGGACATAAAAAGCTCCAACTTTAAAATACATAGGGAAAAAATATAGAGTACAACCAAGGCCTTGGGGAAAAGAAGAATTTCTTAAACAGAAATCACTAACCATAAAAAGACTAACACATCTTACATTAAAAGTAACAACTATTAATCAAAAGTTATCAAATACAAGCCAGAACAGTCTTAACAGACTGATAATTAACATCACAATGTTTTAAAAAAATGCCTATAAATCAATAATAATAGGCAACCCAATTGAAAAGCAGGCAAAAGACATGAACAGGTATTTCACAGAGGAAAACACACACAGAAGACTAGTAAAGGTGTGAAAAAAAACAGGGTGCATCTTCACCAATGATTAGAGGAGCACAAATCAGAAAAAGGATACCATTTCACACACACAGCAAAAATTTACAAGTGGGACAATACCATCCATTTAGAAGACATAGAATAAAGAAGACTGCTGGTATAATCACTTGATAACAACAATTTAGTATGAATGAGTAAAGCTGAAGACGCACATACTCTGTGAACCAGGTAATTCATTCAGCTGTATATGCTCAACTGTTTTCTCTCTCTCCTTTCTTGAAAATGATATGGATTGACCCACAGTACATATACCATGACCCACTACTGAGTTGCAATCCAGAGCCCAGTCTATGGTTTAGGGAAAAAAAAAAAAAATCACTGCTCTACAGTTGCCCCCGGCAAACTTTTTCCCTCAGGACCCCTTTATACTCTAAAAAAAATTTAGTGAAAAGAATGGCACTATTTTACATTTCTGCCAATCTCTTTAATGTTTGGCTTAAAATAAGGATGCTGGATTCTCTTATCTAGTTCTGTATTTGCTCTGTTGGATCTATTATTTTGCCTGATGTATTTAAGAAAATCTATTCTACCACAAACGTGGTCATTATAGAAGGATCTTGTAGACTGAGAGGGTCTTGGAGATCTCTAAGGATTGTGAGACCATACTGCACTCTAGAGAAACTTTTGCCATGTACAGCATATAAGAATGAGAACAAGACTGTTTACAGTATCTGGCAAATAAACAACAAAACCCATTAACTCCAAAGCCCATCAAGATACTGTCGTTTACTAGCTAGACAACTTTGACTCAACCTCTCTCCACCTCGTTTTGCTCATTTGAAAAAGGAAATATTAATGCCAATCTCAGAAGGTTACTGTGAGGATTAAATGAGTTAACATATGACAAGTGCTTAAAGTGCCTTTAAGGACTATGCCCGCCAGATAGTCCTATATAAATACCACATATTATAATCTTAAAAAGTGTAGTGGGGGCCGGGAGTGGTAGCTCACGCCTGTAATTCCAGCACTTTGGGAGGCCAAGGCGGCAGTATCAAAAGGTCAGGAGTTTGAGATCAGCCTGACAACAGGGTGAAACCCCGTCTCTACTAAATATACAAAAATTAGCCAGGCATGGTAGTACATGCCTGTAATCCCAGCTACTGGGAGGCCGAGGCAGGAGAATCACTTGGTTGAAGGACCTAACCAAAAAGTCAGAGACAAATGAAGAGATTAGCTCATTAAGTCCAAAGTGACAGGGCGTTTTCACCAGGGTTGTGAAAACATTACAAGGCTGACATGAAAGACACTCTTGTGTTTCAACACTTTGCTGCCCATACTTCTATATGAAATTAATTTCATTATGCCCAATCATAGTTGCTTTCCTGCCTTTTCCATGAGTCGAGTTTATCAACTCAAGAGCAATCACTCAATAAATGTTACCTAGACCTAACTGAAACCTAGTGCCCTACTTCCTCGTCATTCATTTGAGATTTACACAGTCCCTACTTCCTAAAGATGGTTATTTATGAATCTATTTGTTAAAAAAGCCTTGCCCATAAAGCATCTCGATGTACTTACAACCAGCTCCGTATGGGTTTATCAATGTCAAAAACAGTTGAATCTAACGGTTGTTAATTTTCACAACCCTGAAACCTGAATATAAGTTGCCTTCTCAGTTCATGGTATAGTTTTAACAAGTTTTCTTTTCTTTTTTTTAATGCTGCCTTATGTTAAGATCAGCTGTTTGTTAAGCTAAGTGCTTTTCCAATGCTGTTGGAAATGGCAGCCTTATTTCTGACGGGACACCTAAGCATGACCTTTTATTATGCACTAAGGAAACAACTAAAGTTAGTCATTTTTGTTTTGAGAAATGGTAACTTCCAAATTAGACCTTTTGATGTAGCAGATTGACTTATGGTTGTTATACTTTGATTTATAGAGGATCCTAGATATTCTTAGTGTACCCCTGTTACTTAGAATGTAATTAAAGCTGAGCTTAGCAAAAAAAATGTATTTGCTTTCCTACTAAACAGTCTTTGGGATTTCTGTCAATGCTACAGTAAGTACTAAGAACTGACTATATCCCAATGCCAATGCTCAGCTAGGAGGCCTTGGCATAATGCAGCTCAATTAAACATTTATTTAATATTTTATAGAGACAGGGTCACTCTGTCGCCCAGGCTGGAGAGCAGTGGCACTATCATAGCTCACTGCAGCCTCAAACTCCCTGGGCTCAAGTGATCCTCCCGCCTTAGCCTCCCTAGTAGCTGGTATTACAGACAAGAGCCATGGCACCCAAACTCAATTCAACATTTATGAGTATTCCTTATTCAGTCTCCAAATGCTTAACTTTTGAGAGCTGTAAAAAGTCCTGTTCTCCCAAGTTTAATCACATGTCCTATAAAATCTCATCATCTTCCATCTGCTGACACTTCTAATACTTCATCTTACTTTTTTCTTTTACTGACCTAATCCTGAATAACTTTCAACTGTTGCTTTCATTACTTCTCTTTAACTTCTCCAGACCTCTCTGCAAACTTCTAATTCCCATTCTGTTCAAACACTGTAATACTTCTGGTCCCATTATTACAAATTCTAACAAGTCTCTGAAAGCTGAAACTGACTTCTCCAAGGTGGCAAGCCTTTCTTAGCATTCCCCACTCTTTCTCCTTAGATTCTACAAAATATCTTTGTTCTGATACTCTACCAGCTCCTTCCCTCACCATCCCCTTTTTTTCCACGTTTTTCCTTGTTTCCAATTCAGCTCATCCAACTCTACCTCCATATTACTCCTGCTCATTCCAAATGATCTCAAGTTTCCTGAAAGTACCTACTGTCCTGGAACATACTCCAAAATTCCTGCAGTGCCTTTTTCTCCTTCCCCTACTCTTGGCACAAGCAATTACAATTCCTTCGACACGCATTTAGCTTCATCTTCCCTTCTAGGAAACCTCTAACCTACCCATGCACTGCTAATCACTCTCCTTTAGATTACTTTAGTGCTACCGTATGGCGCAGTAATCACCTAACTACGTGCAGTTGCTCTTCAGTGTTTTGCGTCTTCAAAGCAGGGTTTCTGCCCTACTCATTTGGACCCTCAGCCCAGTCAAGGGCTCCAACTTTGGCTTTGTCACATTTACTTCTTACCTCTTCCTTACCCCGCGGTTTTTAAAAACCTAAGCGTTGGACACTCCAAAATGACAAATGCCAGTGACGAAACTGGCTAGTGACCTTTCAGGAGGCAAAACTACTGTTTAAATTCAATTCCCCTGTCGCCTAAAACTGCATTTCCACATTAGTCCTAGTACTTCTGGGTGGTGGGAAGAGCGAGCTCCGGCTACGAGGATCACACAACAAAGTTAATGAGAGGATGAGAGTGGGAGGCACTGCAGGCATAAAAAACAACATAAGCAATGGCTAGTAAGCGCTCGAGAGACGGCGGACTACTACTCGGCAGCTGTCTCTTAAACACATTAGCGCGCCTACCTGATCTGGCGAGTTTCCTAGAGGGGCTGCTGGAGCCACGTGACCAAAGGAACTACGATTTCGCAAGCCAGGGAGTGGGCAGTTGTCCCAGCCAAGCCTTGGGAATGTTAGGCAACCGAGGTTGCCACGCCGAAAGGTGAACGAGGGTTGGGGAACAGACGTGAACCAGCCCAGTTTCACTGGAAGCCAGAGGGTGCAGCCTCGACAGAGGAACAGAGAATGGAACTTGGGGAGCACGGGGCAATCTAGGCGCCCCCGCCGTCCTCCAGAATGGGGTCAGAAGCTGGACTGACAGCGCCCTAAAACGTGAGGAAACTCAAAGAGGCGCTTAGGGCCGACGTGGAGCCCACTCGCGCCAACTCCTTCTTACCGAGAACTGAGAACCAGAAGCCGCAGAGACCGAAGCCGTCGCCATCTTTCAGCCTGCCCAGGGGTTCTCGTGGTCTTCTTCAAGACTCGGGAGCCACCCACCAGGGGCGACCCTAAGCTAAACCCCTGATGGAAAAGGGCAAGGGTGCTGGTGCTGGTTTTGGAAACCCGTGCCACACACACCCTCAGAGACGCCTACGCTCACAGAGCACACAGAACGGGCAACACGTCCTAACGGACGTCTTTCCTAGCCAATCAAAACAGCAGACGTCTTCCGGTAGTAGGAGAGAATCCGCCTTTTCCCCGGTGACGTCACAAGGTAGCGCGTAGTGGAGCCCGCTGGGGGTTGACAACGCTGCGGGCTACTGGCCGGCTCTGCGGGGATTCTATGGAGGGGCGGGCCTCCTCCAGTAAGAAGTGTGGGTGAGTAGTGTTGTCGTCAGTGGCAACCGAACGGAATAACGGAGACAGAACAAAAGCGAAGGCGAAGTTCAAGCACTCCCCGAGTTCCCTCGGATTACACGCTGGAAAGAGCGTGAGTTTGCCTCGGGGACGCCTCTCCAGGTGAAGTACTTACCTTTTGGCCAATAACAAATAGGATTAGGAGGGACTAAATGACTTAGTCCAATGGAAGGCAAGGGAAAAAAAGAGTTGCGGCAAAGAGCCAGCCTTTCGCGAACATTTGCCCAATTGGATTGAGGGACTCACTCAAACCTGGGACTGGCTGTTAATAGCCGCGACCGCAGACCTTGGGGCGGGGCAGGTTCAAAGCGGATTTCGCGCGTTAAGAGCGCCCGGCTGCCATTGGCCAGCGACTTCCTCCCTTTGTGGATGCTCCCTGCGTCGCGGAAGTTGGGAGTTGGGAGGAGCCATCGAGTGACGCGGTGGCCTCCGCAGCCAATCAGGCATGGGGAAGGGAGGCCGAGAAGGAAGCAGATCCGCGGCCGCGCAGCTAAACAGCAACCAGCTATCCGCTTCGTCTCCCTCCGCCGCTATCTGGGCCTAAGCGGGAGCGGCTGGCACGGCGTCACTGGGTGGGCTGGGGCGGAAGTGGAGGCGGAGGGAGACGGTGGCGTCGACCGCGGGGCCCTGGGCTCTCGGCGGGGCTCTGGTGGGCGCGAGGCAGGGGGAGGGGGGGAGGAGGAGGAGGAGGAGGAGGAGGAGGAGGAGCCGGAGCCCGCGGCCCGGGCGGCGGTAGCGGCTCTCGAGTTCTCCGTAGGGCCCCGCCTCGAAGCGGGCGGCGGTGGAGGAGGAGACTGAGGAGCAGGATGGCGGCCTCGGCCCTGTACGCTTGCACCAAGTGTACCCAGCGCTATCCCTTCGAGGAGCTCTCCCAGGGCCAGCAGCTCTGCAAGGTCCGTGGGCTCCGGGAGGCGGGCGGGATGGGTATTCTCGCCTGTAGTCCGATGGGGGCCGGGTGGCCGCTGCGCTGCAGCCCCTCTCTCTTTGCCGGCGCCTCAGGGGTTTGGGAGTCTGGAGCCCTCGCCTCCCCACTGGGGGACCCCTTTTTCCGGGGGCTTGAGCATCAGTTGGGAAGGGTCCCTGAGAAGGAGGCAGGATCGTGCCCTCTTCCAGGCGGCCCAGGATGGTGCCGGGCCCCGTCAGCGTCCGGGGGTCTCGGGTGGGGTTGAGTGAGGCAGCCACCTGTCTATGCCGCAGAGACCCTGGGGTGGAGATGTTTTCATCTCGGTTTTCTGCCTGGTCTGTCCTCTTCTTCCACCAGGAGGCAGGGGACGGTTTTTGCACTTCCTTGCTAGGAACCCGAAGCCGCAAAGCTGATGGCATCCTTCTTCCCTGTCCAGGAAAGCGAAGCGACTGGTTTGGGAACAGAATGCTCTATGATTTGGAGCTCCTCCCATCCCATTAAAGCCAGGATGCTGTCTGTGAGCAACGGTGCAAAATAATAAGTAGTTTCACATTTAACCAATCCTTGGAATCGGCCCTGACAGCTTTCTTAATTTGTCTGTAATATACCCCCACGTCTACTAAAGACAAAGACACCTATGCCTTCCCTAAGGAATTATACTGTGATTGGCCACTTACATGATAAAACATCCAGTTCTTTACGTTGGGGCCACGTTTTATCAATGTTTTAGACATTTCGCTAGGTTGGGTAAACAATTTTCTACTAGAAAAGTGAGATTTGGGACTTTCAGATAAATACTGACTGATGTATTGTCTTATTACAGGAATGTCGGATTGCACATCCTATTGTAAAATGTACTTACTGCAGATCAGAATTTCAACAAGAGAGGTTTGTATATTAAACAGTTTTTGACTGTTAAAGAGAAGTGTTGTCTGTATAGAATACCTGGAGGTTGTAATGCCATATATTTATGAAAGCATTTTTTTTTTAATTGTTTAGCCCTAGAAATTTTAAGTTGTAAACCTTTTATACGTGGTAGGAGAATGTTGCCAAAAAACTGATGTTGCCAAAATCTAATTTACAGTTAGATTTTATATGAGAGAAAGAATAAATTACTACATGGAAAATGTATAACCTTGCTAATGAAAATGCAAATGTAAACAGTTACTGTTAAACTTAAAAAAATATATGGTAAAGCAATTACGGACTGAGGAAAGGTCTGTAATGTTACCAATTGCCTTCAAAGGGTGAAATCTAGTAATTTGTTACATGGAAGAGTAGTTCATAAGTTTTTTAACAGTGAGTTCCACTCTGACAGTATATACAGAAAGTAGCCTCAGAGAAGAACAAATAATTTCTTCATAAGTTGGTGTGAGCATTATTGTGTTGGACAATAGCCAACTGGAAGGGTAGGTGTGCATTGGTATTGTTGTGCTATGCATTAATGGTGGCAAGTGTAAATATTTTGGAGCTACGTAGGAAACATTAAGATATTTTCTTTACAAAAAGAAATACACAATAAAAATGTATTAAAACATTTGTCTTAATTTGGATGAAACAACCCTGAAAAAATTCTTGTATTTTTGAAAAAATTCATGGTCCATATTAGAGTAAGTTTTAAGCCCTACAAACCTTTGACTCACTCATTTTATTTTGAGATTGTGCTAATTACCTTAGAAAGCTACATAAACATGATCATTTGTATACCATTTCTTTTTCAGCAAAACTAACACAATTTGTAAGAAGTGTGCTCAAAATGTGAAGCAATTTGGGACGGTAAGTATGTCTTAGGTTTTCATTTCATGTCATTGTTACTAGTCAGTATTTTTCACGAAGCTGGACCTTTTAGAAACTATGTACAGTATTGTTATGCTCTATTTCAACATACGGTATGTTATGAAAAATTTTCAGTACACATTTTGATGAAAAGATGACAATATTTAAAAATAGTTAAATTATATGCATGTTTTACATATATTCAGTATCAGTGTGAAATTTGTGAAGCTGTTCTTTAAAGATTCAAATAGAGCAAATTCTTACCCATAAAATTAGTGTGATCAGACTTTAGCCCACTTCAGAACAACCTCCTCAGAACTATTTTTATAAAACAGCACAATTAAGATATTTATTCATAGAAGTTATGGCACAATCCTAGTACAAATTGTCTTAGATGTATACTACAATCATTATAGGTATATTATACCAATATTACTTATTATTGGTCAAAAATGCTAACCTTAATGTTCTAAACTGTCCTGAATCATCTTTTGAGTATCAAAGAAAATCAAGGTATGTTTTTATGGTTTATGTTGAATATGCTGGTCTCCATTTTTTTAAAGTTGAAAACTTGCCTGTAGTATATATTCCTTGTATTGTTTATTCCTATACGTGATGAAAAGTTAATATTTTTTGAGTAAATGATATGGTCACTAAGCTAACTAGGATATTAAATTAGTAGAAGGACATTTCCTCAGATTCTTTATTCATGAGATTTCTATACGTGTATACCTTTATTTTCATTCTTTGAAACTGTTTTTTTTGTGTAGGTTTTGTATTAACTAACAGACTTTGCAAATCAGAAATCTGTTTCTCATAATCTTAGGGTAATAGTTTTATGACTAGAAGTAAATATTGGTTGAATGCTTGGAAATACAGTATAAAAGTTATTACCTATGGGTTTTCTTAACTCCAGAAATATGTCTATAATGCTGGATATATGCTGTGCAACAAATATTTAATGTTTTTAAAAGTCTCATCTAAAATGTCTATGTTTTTCAGCCCAAGCCTTGTCAGTACTGTAACATAATTGCAGCATTTATTGGTACCAAGTGTCAGCGTTGCACAAATTCAGAAAAAAAATATGGACCACCTCAGACCTGTGAACAGTGCAAACAACAATGTGCTTTTGATCGGAAGGAGGAAGGAAGAAGAAAGGTATGCTTTATTATGACATTTTCTAGAAATTAAATAAAATGCCAAACAAGGTGGAAATTATAATTAGTACACTACTGAGACATGATCTCTTTGGGTCCGTGAAAGCAAGCAGTTAGATGAAAGTGCAGGAATAGTGAGTATCCTCCTTGTGTGATTCATATACTACAAAAAATATTCTGTGGTGGCTATTCTGTACTATTTGGCTATCCCACATTTGGTTCAGGAGATTTAACTAATTACTGTTAAATAACTTCTTTTACTTTACCAAAAGCCTTGCTGGTTACTTGACACTGCTGGTGTAAAAAAAATACCTGATGGCACACTGGCACCTAAAATTCAGTTACTCTTGTGCCTTTTGATATGGGCTCATATTTGAAACCACTGTTTGTTTTTGTTTACCTACAGTGACTTACTATAATAAGTATATGTGTTCATGTGATATTCCTCTGCCGATCAGCATTCACACAGGCCTTCTGTTGCCTATCAATTTTAGCTGATTTGGAGAAGTCCTCTTTGAGGGGCTTCCTCAGGTCTCCCCACAGCAGTGTATATTCCCCTTTACAAGACCTGTCCCTCCAGCACGTCTAGTACATACATACCTTGGAATACTCTGGTTGGAATAGATGTGAACAAACAGATAAAAATTTAGTTTTATTTTTAAAGGTTTAGTCAGTACTTTTGGAAACACTCTCTTCTCTGAGACAGGTACAGTTGATTCTCATTATTTGCAGTAGTTCTTTAAACTTCCCACAAAACAGTGAATACAGTAGTACCCTCCCTTATCCATGGGGGATACCTTCTAAAACCACTTGTATGGATAGATACCTGAAACTGGGGATAATAATGAACTCTACCGTGTTCTCTCCTGTACATACATGCCTAGGATAAAGTCTAGTTTTTAAATTAGGTACAATAAGAGATAAAAATAGTAGCAAAATAGAACAATTATAATAACATATTCTAGTTACAGTTATGTGAATATGGTCTTTCTCCCTCAGAATATCATATCATATGTAACATTTTTAGACTAAGGTTGACCATGGGTAACTAAAACTGTCAGTCGGGGGACTAATGTACTGAAGCATTGCCCAAGAGAAATATAGGATTAAGTTCATGTCTCCAGTAATAGCATGTTGGTCATTCGATCAATATATGACCTTTTTTTGTTTGTGTTACTCTTTGAAGACAACTTATTTAATATACACTGTCGATAAATGTAACTGAACTTATGGCCAACAGCACTAAGGGTGCCTGAACATACCTTATGTAATACACACATTGTAGGGCATATCACAACATTCTTACCTTTTTTATTTTTAATTTTTTTTTTATTTTTTTAAGTTCAGTGGTACATGTGCACGTTTGTTATATAGGTAAACTTGTGTCACAGAGGTTTGTTGTACAGATTATTTCATCACCCAGGTATTATGCCTAATACCCATTAGTTATTTTTCCTGATTCTTTCCCTCTGCTGCCCTCTACCCATTGATAGACTCTAGTGTATGTTGTTTCACTCAGTGTGTTCATGTGTTCTCATCGTTTAGCTCCTACTTATTAGTAAGAACATGCAGTATTTGGTTTTCTGTTCTTTTGTCAGTTTGCTAAGAATAGTGGCCTCCAGCTCCATCCATATTCCTGGAAAGGACATGATCTTGTTCTTTTCTATAGCTGCATAGTATTCTATGGTGTATATGTACCATGTTTTCTTTAACTGGTCTACCATTGATTGGCATGTGGGTTGATTCCATGTCTTTGCTATTGCACATTATAACCTTCTTGAGCCTAGGAACACTGTATAGCACTTTGGCAGTACTCTTTGGGACTATAAAAACTTGAAAAACATGGCACTAAATAGACTGTGTAAAGGATACCTGTCTGAGAGATAAAACAAGGCAGAGCATCACCTTGTTCCATCTCAGCTGGGAACATGTGCAATTGGGTGGCAGAGATTTTTCACCACTCTGTATGTATACAGTGGCCACAAAAAATGCTACAAATACTGAGTTTTGGGGTCGCAGATAAATTTTACTGAGTAGGCAAATACACAGATAGGAAACGAAGAACAATGAGAGTCAACTGTGTATATCATTTAGGCTTTTCTGTTTTTTTTTGTAAATTTACAGTACTTACTGTAGTGGGAAATACTTTATCAGTAATTGTGCAGTGATTTAAGAATTCAGGCTGTATTTCTTGGAAGTTTATCAGTTAGTTTATACTTATTCCCCTGGAATAAGAAAAAAGGTAACATTTTTTTTTCTTCAAATTAAAAATGCCTCAAAACTAATGGAAATCTATATGTCATCCTCATTAATTTTATAATTTTCCAACCAAGTATTTTCCCAAGTTTCAGAAAAGTCCAATTTTACTTCTGTTTGCAAAACAATTTGTGAATATGTGCATACATGCATTTGTGCATGTTATGTGTGGAATACAGGTGGAAGTTGAGTGGTTTATCTTACCTGGCTTCATTCACAGCCAGTTTATATGGGTACATTTAATTTAAAACACTATTTTCTTAAAAGGTTGACGGAAAGTTATTATGCTGGCTCTGTACTTTATCATACAAAAGAGTTTTACAGAAGACGAAAGAACAAAGGAAGAGCCTGGGATCATCACATTCAAATTCATCTTCTTCATCTCTTACTGAAAAAGACCAGCATCATCCAAAACATCATCACCACCATCATCACCATCACCATCGTCACAGCAGTAGCCATCACAAGTAAGTACTTTGAAGTCATATTTTCTAAAATTCTTCCTGGCATTTTAATGCCATTTATTGGCGTTTACTTCTTGCAAATATTTACTATGTGCTAGTCTAGTTTCTGTTGTACAGAGTAGGCTTCTTGCATGTCTAAGGCCATGTCTCCATTTTATTCAGTGTATAATATTACACACATGGAATATGTTTAGCTATTTACGGTAATACAGGTAAGACGTTTAGGAAATTATAAAATTATAATCATATAAATTCAAAATACAAGTACATCAGTTAACGCTTAAATAACTTATCAAAAGCCTCAGTTTTCTTTTTTGTTAAAATAATTGTTAAGGTTTTATTTGAAAAATTATATTTATCTCAGTGTTCAATTTGTTCTATTAAAAACCAAAACAAACCAATGACTGGGTTTGGAGAACGTATTTTAATACTATAATTTGTTACTACGATAGAAGCATTTCTAATCTTTGTGGTCCCCAAAATGTGAGAAATATTTTTAACTACTGATACTTTGCTGTTTTTTTTAATCCTACTTAAAAACAGACAACTGTAGCTTTCCCTCAGTATGCTTGAGGGATTTGATGTGGAACCCTCTCATGGACCAAAATCTGCGTATACTCCAGTTGGCCTTGTGGAACCTGCCTATAGGAAAAGTTGGCTTTCTATACATGCAGGTTTCACATCCTCCAAATATTGTATTTTTGATACATATTTGCTTGGGGAAAAAAAAGTTCTTGTATAGGTGGTCCCATGCAATTCAAAACTGGGTGGTTCAAGGGTCAACTGCACTTGATTTTTAAAGTGACCTGTGGGGGAAGAGTTATGTAGTAGTAGTAGTAGTACCTTAACCCTTGATGTGTTTAGTATAAAGGCTTTTTAAAATGCAGTTTTAATCTTCATGGAACAAACAAGAACATTAAAAAACAAACTCATGTAAACACAAATTAAAATAGAAAAAACAGGGACATATTGCATGCCCATTTTCAGAAGAATTTATTGTTTGTTTCTGAGTCTTTCAACTTTCAGATAATTTAAAACTGAATTTACAAAAAACTGATGGCCACCACATTTTGGAACAAATGCAGTATTTTTGGAATGTAATATAGCTCTATCTAATTAGTAAGATTTGTTCTAAACCGTATTCAGTCACCTTTTAGATGATGAGGTTATGTTGAGGTTAGTGATGTTTAATTCTACCATTGGGTAGACTACAATGCAATACCTTGTCTTCTGGTTGTTTTGAAGAAATCTTGTGATCTTTATATCAGAGTATATCAAGGAGCAAAGGAATATAAGACTACCTTGATTTTGCTTCTAGCTTTAAGAAATAATGTGACAACTATATACTATAATAGCAATGTTAGACATACTCCTAAGACTGCCAAAATGTCTCCTTTCTCTATTATTTACAGATAAATTTGTCTTAGCATGATGTAAAAGGACACAATCAGATTATTTTTGTGAAGATCGAAGTATGTGACAGCAACCAAATTTTTGAAAAAATGACAGCTTTCAAAAATAAAGGGAAAGAAGACAGTATTGAAATTGAAAGTCTTCAATTTTTTTGCTTTTGGTTCCGTAAGAAATACAAACACTATTTTCTTTTGTTTTTGTTTTTGTTTTGAGACGAAGTCTTGCTCTGTTGCCAGTTTGGAGTGCAGTGGCACGATCTTGGCTCACTGCAACCTCCGCTTCCTGGGTTCAAGCAATTCTTTTGCCTCAGCCTCCCGAGTAGCTGGGACTACAGGCACGTGCCACCATGCCTGGCTAGTTTTTTGTGTTTTAGTAGAGATGAGGTTTCACCATGTTAGCCAGGGTGGTCTTGATCTGACTTTGTGATCCACCCGCCTCTCACAGTGCTGGGATTATGGGTGTGAGCCACTGTGCCCAGCCACAAACACTATTTTCTATTTGATGGCTATTGACCATTTGATAACAGTTAGTTTGTAGGGTCCTATCTTAAGTTCAATAGATTAGACTGAAAGTGAGGAGCATACATATTGTGATAGATGGTGATTGGCTAGAGTAGGGGATGCGGTTGTGTGGGTGGCACTAAGGTGGGTCTGAATCTAGGAATGGACAATACTCAGAAAGCTAAGATGGGAATTCCAAATGTTTCTATCAGTCATATTAATGTGATTATTCTTTGAGATATGGTTAGTGCTGTTAATTCATGTATCGCTTGTTAACGCTTATAATGAAATTTGTAAAAAAAAAAAAAAAAAAAAAAAAAAAGACAACTGCATCCCTCAATAGGATTTCCATTCACAAATAAGAAGAACTGAGGTTGATGGAATTATCGCTGTTTTTTCCCTACTTGGTATTGGTTTACAGCTGAGTCTTAAGGTCTGTTTTTTTCTTTTGCTTAAAAAACTCCTACAGCTGAACCAATAGTAAATTTTAAACACATGTATGCATATATCTATTTTGTATATGCCAGCACTATACTAAGTGCTTTTATATATATAACTCATTTAATGCTCATATCAGTATAAGGTATGTATTACATCCATTTTACATATGCGAGAACCAAGGCTCGGGGATGTTAAGTAATTTGTATGAGGTCACAGCTTAGGTCTTCCAATATCTTCTAAATTGCACAAAAACATGGCATCTGGTTCATAGGAGATACTCTATATGTGGAGTGAATAAACTAGGGGTTAGTGAAGGATTGACTGATGTGCCAAGTATAGGAGGAAAAAAAATGTAGGATTCATAGAGAATTACAAAGTGATTATTAGTATTATGCCAAAATAGAAAAGGAGTTTTACAGTATTATGAGTAAAAGTAAAATCATTTGTTACTATGAAATTTCCCAATAGCTTCAGCGTGACTTCTCCAGAATACTAAAGAGAGATCTAGGGACTTTGAAGAGGACTTTTAAGAAAACTGGGAAAGAATCAAAGAAATCAATATATTTCCCCATTTAAATAGACATACTATTATGAGCAACTTGAGTTACTCCAAAGGAAGAATCTCTACTTTACTAGGAAAACCTTAGCTTTAAAGATACAAATTTTGCGTCTGAATTAATAAGGGCAGCCAAAGTACAGTGATAACTAGACTTTATAATTTTAGAATCTTGTTGTGGTAGTTTTTGTGCTTGTATACTCCACCCTTTGTATGATATTAAATTGAACTGTGGAGATGCTGATTAAAAAGAATTCTTGAAGAAGTTAAGATGGCCAATAGTCATTTGATTAAAATTTGTCTCACCATGTGATTTATTCAATATTAGCTTAGTCTGAAAACTTAAATATGCCTTTCTCTGAACAAGAGATTATAAACATAATTTGTATCCATTGAGAAAGAATGTTAAATTTAGATGTATTAAATGAATGTCGTTATTAGATGTCATTTGTATATTTTTCAGAATCAGCAATCTAAGTCCAGAACAAGAGCAGGGACTGTGGAAACAGAGGTAAATACATTGCTGTACTTTCTGAAGTATTTTGAAATGTATTTTTGTAAGTGTATGATACTCCTTTAACTTTGTTCCTTAAACCTTACAAAAATCAGTATTTTCAGTAATGTTTTAGGGGAAGATGAATAACTTATCATTTGGTTCCTCTGTCCTTTTTACTCTTAACTATTCTTATTAATGTTTGGTTTCAGCCATAAATCCTCTGCAGCAATTCAGAATGAAACTCCAAAGAAAAAGCCCAAATTGGAATCTAAGCCATCTAATGGAGATAGGTAAAAATGAATTCTTTTAGTGTTGTGAAAATTCAGCTTAGTTGCATAGTTATGGTTGATTGCCAGTTATTACTAGATAAAAAACTAAAAACATGTATTTTCTACATTGACTTGAGTCACCTAGAAGAGTAAACATGAATCAGTTTAAAATTTTTAACTTAATTTTGGCAATAAGAAAGTGGCACTGAACTATGTTGTTCTATTTGGGAAATAAATTTGGGTTTTGAAAAAGAAAACAAATCTGAATGGAGAACATTATTTTTATCTTTATTCTTCAATGAAACACAAATCTAATTGTGATACTTTAAATTGACCTGCTTAGAAAATGTTTTTAGATTAAAAATAGGAGCGTGACTTTGTTTTAGTTCATTAGCCAAAAGTTTGCTGATGTTACTGTACAAATTGGCTGCCTATTGCTTTACACTAGAAGTATTGACCCCCTAAAAGCTAATACTGAATTATATTTCTGCAGGTGTATGTAATGTGTGCCATTAGTAAGGTAATTTGCCAGTTGCATCCATTTCTGTCAGGTACATATTTTTTTGCATTAGCCTTAAGGATGTTTGTGGAATTGTCTAATTTATGCAATTTGAACACCTGCTAATTTTCCTTCTACTTCATTTAACTGTGTTTTACTTTTTTCTTTTTAGTAGCTCTATAAATCAGTCAGCAGATAGTGGGGGAACAGACAATTTTGTCCTTATAAGTCAGCTGAAAGAAGAAGTGATGTCACTTAAGCGTCTCTTACAGCAGAGAGACCAGACCATTTTAGAAAAAGATAAAAAGGTAAGAACATGATTCATTGAAGTCTGATAAGAATTATGTCTTGACTGTTGCTTAATAATCACAAATTTTAGTAGTCTTCTTTTAATAATTTGGTAATGTTTGTTATGCATGATTTTTATAAGACAAATTACAAAAGCCCTTCCGCCCCCACAAGCCATTTCATGAAGATAGGTAAAAAATGGTCTTTCAGAATTTTACTTCTAAGAATTAACTGAGAGCTTACTTAGGGTATAGTTTCTAAACTTTAATTTTCAGTAAACATGTAATTTAAAAATAGGTCTACTAATACTTTAAAAGTCAGATATAAATGGAATGTTTTGTAAACTTTTGTTATTTAAGAAAGTAGTTTGAACATAGTATTTGATATTCCAATCTTGTATTTATATGAATTCAGATCAAATAACTGCTGAAAAGTAATGGTATGGGAATTTCCTGTGGTAATCAGTAATTTGCAGTAGATGTCTAAAAGGTCATTGTGTAGGAAGTAAGTGTATTTATTGGGACTTTATCAGTCAAGAGGAATATCAAATGTGTTATCCATTTAGCAAAAACAGGAATATTAACAGAATTATAGACAGATTTAAGGTCTTGTGCTATGAAATCAGGATGGCATAATAGTGGTCAGGCGTGGAACGGTAAACAGTTCGGAAGTTATTTAGCCATACTTAGATTCAAATCCCAGTTCTAAGATTTTCTCTGTAACCAGGAGCAGAATGTGTACTTCTTTCGGCCTCAGTTTTCTCATTTAATTGAGAGCATATACTATTTCAAGTGATGGCTGTGATGATTAAGGAAAATGCAATTATTTATTATAGCTCTTGGCATGTGAAAGCACGTAAGGGTTATTACTGATATTTGATTATCTTTGTACTTGCTTATGGTCCCAGACAGTGTAGTTTGACCTGTGTCAAATTTATTATGCATTAGAACACTAAAATCATTTCTTTTTAAAAGAATAAGACCTTATTATGGATACATACATGAATCATATCCATCTCTGAGTACCTATAGCTGCAGACTTGAATCTGAGGTGGCTTTTACTTCTGGCGTTCAATAACTTTTGTTACATCTTCCCACACCTTGATGGTTAGTGGACTTAATTTTTAATACATTTGTACCTTGCTTTAAGCAAATTCAATATATGAAAATTAGGAGTGACATACAAGATAAAAGTAGGATGGTTACAGGTGTCTTTGTCTTATGGTCCTTTTTAATTGACAGCATTTTTTAAATTAAAGAGCTTTTATGGAAATTTGTTCTATGTACAAAGTTTTAGAGACAAGCCAGGTATGTCTGTATTAACCTTGAGAAAAGTTAAATAAAATGCCACATTTACTGCAAAATTGTGATTTCTAAACCAAGTAGTAATCAGCTACAGAATATTGACTGTTAGATTTTTCTTTCCTCTCTAGCATAAGAGATATTATCTTTGCATTGTGCACTTGAAGTTTTCTGCTTTTGTTAGTATTCCTCTTTTAAAAAAACCAAAATACCAATGGGGATTGAAATTAGCATTGTTGTATAAGAAAAATTCTAATGGTAAACCTAAAATAGCTACACATTTGCAGCTTTTTCTTATAAATCTAAGACAACCAAGTTATTTTCCTGAATTGATTTTACAAAGTTATTCAGTGACTTCTAGAGCCAGACACTGAACTAGTTCATGAGGATACAAATATGAACAATTAAGACATAATTCTTGTCTTCCAGAAGTTCATAATTGGGAGCAAGTCACAGTATAGTGAATAGAGTGATTGTCTTAGCTGATCTGGTGTGAATTGGCATTTCAGAACAGAAAATCTCTTGTGAATATAGAAAGTTGAGAGAGAGAGAACTTAGTTATACTTTGGATTTGACAAAAGCAAGGGCTTTTTTGTGTGTGTGTGGAAAAATAAGTATATAAGACTCCATGATTTTCTATTTTTGCTGTTGTGTGTCTTTCAGTTTACTAGCTACTAGGTAATGACAAAAGAATGTGTAAACCTTTACAGCTGACACAATGAAAAATGTTAAAGAATAGCTTGAAGCTGCTTCTGCATGGCTTTAATAGTGAAATTACATAATAACTTATTCCTTGGTTTGAAGTCATGAGATGTTATGCTTTTATGTATGTCATTTATGTTTATGAAAAAATTATGTAGCCTTCCTTCTCAGAGCACGATTTTTTTCTTACATTAGCCCAAATTTTATAGTAACCCTCTTTCCTTTCTCATTCTATGTAGTTGTATTTCTGTGCTTTGTTTTCGGTTTTTACCTCAAGTGTTAGGTGGTTGTGTACATAATCCTGGACTAAATTTAAAAATTAAAACAGTGTAGCTTTTGGCTGAAAAGACCATCCCTTTTTATATTTCCCAGTGGGAAATTAAAGATTATTTTACCCTTTAACTAGTTTTAATGTTTGTTTATACTGTTATAAATGTTATTGAAGTACCTTTTTGAATGAGACATTTTCCAAGTTATTAGCCGTTAAGCGTTTTTTGTTGATATACCAGTTGCTAAACTCTATTCCCAGTCAAGCTACGTTTAGAAAAAAAAGAAAACTCAAAAATTTTACTGATGGTCGGGTATTAGCATTAAAATCACACTATTGTAAAGCAGATAGAATTCATCATTTCACAAATCAAATTTTAGATAGGTTGTACAATTCAGGAAACCGCAAAGAACATCTTCCACTTTTGTAATGAATTGTGAGTTTATTTTGAAAGTTACATATAATGTTGTGTGTTTGTGTGAGTGTGCAAATACATACATATGTATCTTTTTTCTTTAATCTCTCAGTTAACTGAACTAAAGGCAGACTTTCAGTACCAAGAGTCAAATTTGAGAACAAAAATGAACAGTATGGAAAAAGCTCACAAAGAAACTGTGGAACAACTTCAGGTAACTACCATCATTTACATAAAATATTAGGCAAGGAGGGCTGAATTTGAGTAACAGCATTCATTGACTTAGATTGTATTGGTAGCCCTGGTTTTGCATAGTTGGTGCATTTCAGTTTTGATTTTGACTTTATACTCATTTTTAATCTTGATCCCATTAGAAGTTGTTGTTTGAAATTACTTGAAAGGTGATTTAATACATTAGTCCTGAAAACTTTTGCCTAAACTTCAATTGGGGTTTTTAGAGTAGGCTATTATTGGTGTATGTTCAATTGATTATTGGGCTTAGAGCAAAAAATTAAAAATCAGACTCATGAAACTAAGGTGAAAAGCCGCTCTTCAGTAGCAGTCATTCTTCGTATTAATATTTCCTTCCAGATAATGGGAAGGGAGGTGGGTGTATAAAACCAGTTCCTAGGACATTAAGTGGCAAAAATGTATACAAAGCAAAAGAGTTTACTTAATCTACGTCCAGTGGTTTGCCGAGTGCCAAATAGGGTACTACTAAATGCTAACCGGTAGTGATCCACCTGAACCTCAGAGTACTGCACAGTAGCATTTTAAGTATACAAAACAACTGAATGGTGAAGTCAGGTGTCAACACAGTAACAATCTGATTGATGTCTGTCATGCAGAGATGGTGAACATCCAACATGAATACAGATTACTACCATATTAAACTTGTTCTCAGCTAGGTTTTATAAATTTAGAAATCAGACCACACTAAATTAATTACATGTTCTCTGATTTATATAGTCTCACATTTGTAAAATTAATCTTTAGTGATGTTTAAGGTTAAGAAGTTTTAAATCTTAAAAGGATAGAAGATGGATGCATACAGACTTCAGTCTTAGGAGAGTACAGCTTCAGAAGGAAGGAGTTAATACTGCCCTATTTCATTTTGTATTTTTCACATTGTAACATCAAGGGATATTTGCTGTTACTTTCTTTTGGTTTTGTATTAATATGTCTTTGCAAGTAGCTTAAATTAGTAGAATTTAGGAACTTGCTGAAATTCAAGGTACAGATTGGTCTTAATCGTGATCATACTATTACAAAGATGGTTGAAAAGGAACCTCATGTAAAGCTGGGACATAGTAGGCATTCAAATGATTTATTGAATAAGTGGTGATTTATGGAAATCCCCATCTGCCCTCCATTCTGAGAGATTGCTTATATCATATATCAGATTCTTATATATTAGTTAATGTTTTTTATCTACCAGCAAGTATTATTTTTAGTTTTATGTTATTTCTATTTTTCTTATTCAGTTATTAATGCTGAATGATTGTCTTGAACAGAATCTTTCACCTGATGGTCTTTGATTTAATGTGATGTAACCAAAGCTCTGAAGTAAATCCAGAATGAGATAACAGAATAACTGCAAGAGGTACTTAGATATGTTTTAACTTAGTACTTCCCACTGTTCAAAAGAGCAATTTGTGTTTTGGTCTTTATTTTTTAAAATAGTTGCAAAGACATGGGGTCTTCTTTGACTTAGCCTGATTGGTATCTTAAGCCTACCTCCTTTTGGTTGGTAACTGATGTTTCACATAATATAAAAGTAACTACTATTTATATAAAAATATGGGACATTTTGACATGATTTTACATATGCTGTCTTGTTACAAAAACTGAGTTATGTGATATGCCCATTTTACAGAGGAAACTGATCACACAGTAAGTGGTGATATAGAAGTTTCCATCTTCTGGCTCCAGTTTAACTACTTTTCCCTGTTATACACTGGCTCCCACCATTTCAGGTCACTCAGATTTTCTATTTCATCCTTCCTATCAGACGACTTACCTGATTTTTTTTGTGTGTTATGGCTACGGGCATTCTGTCATAGTTGAGTGCCATCTTTTTACATTGCTCCCTTTAGCAACCAGTGGTACTGGTAGGATTCTATACTGAGGTGAGGAAATATATGTAATATTTTTCTTATCTTTATGTGATAAGGAATTGAATCCTGTGACACAAGATTGATCTTAGAGCTAGTAAATATTTTTAACTACCAAACTATGACAAAGCACTGAACATCACAAGAAAAATTGTCCAAAATGTAACCCCAAAATACCTCAAATATTGAAAATACTGAGAATATTAAGTAAAAACTCTATAATTCACTTAATTAGGTAAGTGGTTAAAAGGGAAAGGGTTATAACATTTGAGTGCCTTCTATGTACCAGTAACTGTGTTAGGCTAAGTGTTTTATATATTTGATAACTTCTTTAAACTCATTATGAGTTTGGATGGTGGAGTTACTGTGTTAAAAATGAGAAAATATTCTCCAGGTTATGTAACAGGTAAGTAAGCCAGGATTTAAAGCAGGATCTATATAATTGTTAATCCTCATACTCTTGCCTTTAGACCAACATGTCTAAACTTTTAAACTTATCTTTTAAGAGTCTGTAAAGAATATCATTGATTTTTAAATATTTTTGCTGGGCGCAGAAGGAAGTAATTTTAGGATAAAAAAATTTAAATGTACATATATTGAAATATTGCATTATAAAATTCATTTTTAAGGTATTCAAATTAGAATAAGATAAATTTGGAGTTGTACTTATCAATTGTATTATTTATTTATCTTAAAAGATTAATGTAATTTATCAAGAAATAACTGTATTAGTGATCCAAATATATTAAATGCAAACTGGAAATTAGCTACTAAAGCATTAAAAGGAAAAATTGCTTTAAAGACCTAATGTGTTCAAATTATTGTATTTTGTACTTAAAATATGAAAATTATAAACACTTTTTTTGTTTACTTATTGATGATTGAGGAAATAATTTGAAGATTCACATTTTAACTATTTAGTATATCAGTATAAACATTTTTACATAAATATAACTTACAGACCTGGTAAAGATCTTTTTGAGTCAAATTTGCATACATATATGTTCCTCAAATTTTTTATTTTTAGCTAGTGTGTTTATTATAGTTATAGATTAAATAACATGTAGCTAACACATAAAGAAAAAATTTAAATTACTGTATTGACAGGGACTGGTTAGCTGAGTAATGAACCACTTGATGATAAATGTGCTGCTTTATTTCCCCCATCTGCTAGGTATTCTCACTTAATTTTTCCTGTGAGTTTCTCAAGCTGTTTAGTTTTAAAGGAAAGTAAAAATCCTTTTCAGTTCTTGATGGTTTTCTAAATTTGAAATAGATATTGAAGTTTTTCATTACCACCTTAGTTATTAATAGTGACTGAATAGGAAAGTCCTATTAATCATGCATCTGAACATAAAAAATGATTTGATTTGCACACATAAGATAGTACTGAGAATGTTTGCATTTTAGAGGTCATGGGTGTTAATTAGCAAGTGATTGGAGAAGGATGAGGGAATGGAAGTACAAAGTTTGAAAAAGGTTATTTCATGAAACCTCTATAAAATGGCATACAGAGAAGGCAGGTTGTTATTTGGCCATAGAAAGCTAAAATTAGAGTAAAAGATGAAGTCCTGAGGCTAAAAAGTCTGTCGAGATAATAAAAATTCCTCAAACCTGTGAAGGAAAATTGTGTTGAAATGTAAGTCAGAGAGTATCTTTTTAAAACATGTTAATTTTAGGATAGTGCTCAGATTTCAAACTATTTTCATCACTTTCCCCATTTTGGCTCAGACTACAAAAATGCTTGATCATTAATGTATTTGTATATGTAGGAATCCTTACTCTCTAAGTTTCCACATTTAAGAGACTGAATAAGGTGGCAAAGGCAGTCAAAATGTGAAAATATTCACTGTACTTACACATTCCTCCTCACTAAACTAGTGATAGATGGACATTTAATAATGAAATTCAAGTCAGATGATGAAATGAATTTTGTATCTTTGCAAAAATTTAAGCTTTCATGAAATAGGAAATGATGATGTGGAACTGCTCAAGTCACACTAAAACCAGTGTGAAATGACTATATGGTAATTAAAGGAACTACAATAAGATAAGAATGAGTGATTCTGATGGGTGCTTTAGAAAATTGAATATCATTGAGTGCCTTTGGCAAAGTGACACATTCTGAGGTATTTTTTGCAAAAATGATTTCTTATACTTGTTATACAAGAGAGTAAACAGAAAAAAGATCTCATACAGCTTGCCAGGAAACATTCCTCCCAAATCTTGATTCATTCTTTGATTTTGTGGGTTGTAAAAAACAACTTATAGTTTTCATGTTTTTAAGATAAAGGTCCAAACATTTTTCCCCTATTAAAATTTAGACCTTCTTTTAAGTGGATTCACTTTGTCTCCTTTTTTGTAACCAATTGTATATCTTTGGACAACAATTTTATTTATAATATCATTTACAAAGGGGGCTGATGAGACAATCTAGAATTTTCCTTCTGCATATTCATTCTTAAAGAGATGAACGTAAATGTATCAACTCTTTGATTTAATGTAGTGCTTCAGTGAAATAATTATATAAATGAAAACCATATTAAATAAGTAGTATTCTCCAGCATGACTTTATAGTATTTCAAACATTTTAAATCTTGAATGTTTTTGTCTCCCACAGGCCAAAAACAGAGAACTACTCAAACAGGTTGCAGCCTTGTCAAAGGGTAAAAAATTTGACAAAAGTGGAAGCATACTAACATCTCCTTGAGAAAGTAATTTGTTTAGCATTTTTTCTTACAATGTAAATTTGAGGAAAAAAATTCTGTGAAGCCCTAAATTCTGTGTAGTAGAAAAATATTTTTGCACACCAAATGAATTGGTGTGTTTCCTATTCACTTTTGTAATTGATATACAGCATTTTTTAAGTTGTAAAACATTCAAATAAAACTTCAACTGGTTTGAAGTAACTTTTTAATTATTTGATATCCAGGAACTTTTTTGCCAGCAATAGTATTAAACTGTTGTAAAGGAGTGCATGAGTAGTGCTCTTTATAAAACGAAACATGCAATAATAGAGTAGATATGGTTTAAGAAGTCAGAACAGCAGGATTTTTTGTTCTTTTTTTTGTTTTACACCATGCTAATTTCAGACAAACAGTTTTCAATTTAAAAATACAAAAACTTTTAAACTCGAAAAATGGTGAACACTGGTTTTTTGGGAATTGTGTTTTTACTTTGCATCAACATGAATTTAGGAGAAAATCATGGTGCTTTTTATTAAATGAACTTCAAATATATGTAAATTTGTTTTTTAAAATTATATCATTAATGTTAGTAACCTAGCATTTTCATTATTGGTATAGGAATTAATGTTTATTGTACAGTATCTAAGGTAAAATGTGTTTCTGTTTTGTAAAAACGACTGTAGATTTTTACTTACAAGTGCCTTTTTGCCACCTAATGTTTTTATTTATAGGAATGCTGATCTTTTGTACATACAGTTTGTTTTAAAATCATGTTTAATAAATGTTTGTATATAAATGCATATGTACAGAAGCCTATTTCAAAAGGAAATCAAAATTGCTAGTAAAATGTTTGAGATTGCATTAAGAACTAACTGATAATGCATATAGACTTTAGAAAATTTTGTGATTTGTTTCTGTGTGATAAGGGAAGCTGTTGGTCTTTGAATTCATTTATGTCAAAATAGTTCCTCAAAGATTTAATTTTAAATTGCTTCTTAAAGAGTAATTTTATTTTTTATTTCATATGGCTTCATATTCATATTTTGTGAGTTACATGTTTTGCTTTATTATTTTTTATAAAATTTCTTTATAATTTTAATGTTTCTACCATGATCCATATATCTTCTTTCCCTGTGTGTGGTTATCTAAGTTAATATTTATGTACACCGTACTTAATTTAAAGCAAATCTGAAAAAAATTAACCGTTTAATCCAGTCTGTGATAATCTTTGAATAAATTGGAATCTAATATGAGATTCAGGAACTATAAGTAAATTGTCTCAAAGTCTTTAAAATTGTCTATAAAAGGTTAAGGTAGGGTGGGATAGGTTATGTGAAGTTATTGACTAATTATATTCTGATCCAGTGGTTTTCAGCCTGAAATGGAATTTATCTCCTAGTTATTATCAGTTCAGCATTTTAGTTTGATTTTAGTATAGTTGGATACACTGTGTAGAGTGAAAGAGTTGCTTCTTTTAGGAATTTATGGGCAAAGATAAATTTGCTTCATGTAAACTGTTACTTATATCAGTTTTAAAGGTTTTTATACAAACATTGATTATGAATATCATTTCAAAGATTGGCTTTCTTAACACATATGATTGTAACAATTTTTTTAGCATGACGTGTTTCAGTAGAATATTCTTGTAGTTCATTATAAGGTGATACCAAATAATTCTTTGTCCACTTTGAAAGCATAATATGGGTAATTTTCAAGTGGTAGAAAAGATTCAGTCAGAGTCTTGTAAACTAAACAGTTTATTTTTACGGGATCTTCGTGTAATAATAATCTTAAATTTAGTACTTTCAACCATGATAGACAATGCCTTAACATGGATTTTAACGTTTGCAGGATTTGCTAAATTCATAAAATAGTTATTACCTTTCTTTGAAATTTGTAATGTGTTATATTCCTGTTTCATAGCCATTTGTCAATCCACAGTGGTCATTATGGTTTTACTTTGTGGTAGTTCTTATACCTTGTTGGAGAAACTACAAAAGAAAGTTGTCCTTGTCCTTCTCCTTAGCTAACATTAAAATTAAAAATAGTTTAATGTTAGCTAATATTAAAATTGAAGGCAATTGAGTTTTAATGTTAGCTAACATTAACAGTCTCATAATTTAGCTTTGTAAATTCCAAGGCTAAAAACCTTTCATGGGCTTCACAGTATTTAGTCCTAATTAAGTACCCTCTCTTATTCCATGACCTTATAACTTAATTTTTTTGCAATTGTATAAGCTAGTAAATCAGTCCCAGTCCTGGATCTGTAGTGTTTTGACATAAGAAACTCATATTCTTTAAATGTGGACCTGTAAGAGATAATATGGTGTGGTGTATTGTGCTTTTATTCCACTATTAATTAGCATTAACCAGTGAGGGTCATTTTGGCTCAAGTTATTTATGTATTAATAGCCTGTGAATATTACAGTCCTTTTTAGATTATATTGGTCTAAATAAGCATTCTGCAGTGAACCTGTTAAGCTGTTCACATGTATAGACTATTGAAATACTGTACTTGTACACATCTGACTGTTGACATTTTGTACTTTTTTCTAGATCCAGTATTTCACAATAAAAACTTGTCAAAGGCTTTGTATTAGTTTCCAGTGGCTGCTGTGACAAATTTCCACAAACTTAGTGTCTTAATACAACAAAAATTAATTATCTTATGGTTCTAGAGTCCAGAAGTCCAAAATCAGGTTCACTGGGCAAAAGTAAAGGTGTTAGTAGGGTTTGTTCTTTCTGGAGGCTCTAGGGGAAAGTCTGTTTCCTTGCCTTTTCCAGCTTCTAGAGCTGCATTCCTTGCATTCTGTGCGTTCATTGACCCTTATCTTCAAAGCCCAAATTGTAGCATCTGAAATCTGTCTCTGCTGCTGTCATAACTTCTCTCTCAGAGTATCTCCTTCTTGTTCCCTCTTATAAGGACCTGATGAGAAAAGTATTGGCTCCACCTGCATAAACAAGATAGATTTTACATCTCAAGTTGTTAACCTAGTCACATCTGCAAAGTCCCTGTAGTCATATAAGGTAATGTATTCACAGGTTCCAAGGATTAGGGCATGGACATCTTGGGGGACCGTTATTGAACTTACCATAGCTTCATCTACATTTTGCCTCCTTTTCCCAGTATGAAGTCTTAAACGACAGATAACATGAAACTAGGGGTTTAGGCCAAACATTAGAAACGATTTTCCTATCTGTTCATTCAGACCATTTCAGTGCAATGGATATTTTCCTGGAAGAAAGAAATTTGCATTTAATTGAGTAAGTATTTCACGCTATATGTAGTTAAATTTTTGAAAACTTTGGAACATCACTAGTACCATGCTAGGTTCTTTGATACTTTAAAAGTTGAAGGTGTAATTCTTTCATTTATAGACTAGTCGGGCAGATAATATACTTGGGAAAAAATCCAGAACCTAACGTTGGTTTCATAAAGTGTAGTAAAAGCTAATAGCGTTTAGCAAGGGCATTCCAAGACTTGTGGGAAAGGTGTAGTCACTTGTTTCCCGAACTTTAGTATACATCAGAGTTACCTTGAGGACATGATAAACACATGTTGCTGGACCTTATCCCCGGTTTCTGATTCAGTAGGTCTGGGATGGAGCCTAAGAATTTTCTAAGTTCTCAGATAATGCTGCTTCTGGCCCAGGGCTCACATTTTGAGAACTATCATTTTAATATTTCCTGCATTTCCCATGCAAAGTATACCATTGGGTAGGCAAGTAATAGATGGAGGGTAGTTTCTCTGTAAAACATTCTATTCTAATGAAAAAGGAAGGATGGAATTGCTACATTGCTGTTTTACAGCCTCTCGTGGAGATAAGGATTGGTCAGCAGCTACTGACAATATGCAAATAAACACGTTTTTAAGTGCTTTGTGTTGGAGGAACACACTGCTACCTATGAAGTTTTACCTAAAAGAATCAAACCTAAATCTGGCAAAGCATCTACCAATTCACCTAAAATAGGTTGGAAGATCATGTTGAATGACACCAAAAGGATGCAGTTGGCACAATTGTTCAATAAGTTACAAGCAGGAGAAACCTATAGCGTAAGAGGTACTTCGATATCAACCAATCAGAATATGTGAGCCTGATACGGATCTTAAAAATTTTTACCATATATAAGAACAGGAAATTTGAACACTGGTTATGTAATGATTTTAAAGAATTACTGTTAACCTTTCAGATGTGATCATGGTTATTGGAGCTATCTTTTTAGAGTCCTGGAGATACCTACTAAAATATTTACAATGAAATGGTGATGATTGGTATTTGCTTGAAAATAATACAGGGAGGGAGGTGGATGAGAATATAAATGAAACAGGATTGGGTGTGAGCTGTTAATTTTTGAAACTGGGTGATATGTATATGGTGGTTAATTATATTAAACTTTTGTTTAAATTTTTTTCATAACAATGCCACCATCACCCCTGCCAAGTTACACTCAAACAATACATGCTCATTGAAGAGAAATATGCACAGTACAAAAAACCAGAAATAAGGGGAAATAAAAGACCACTCACAGTTCTCCAGGGGACATACTTGTTTCTGTTTTAGTTTTCTTGCAACATTGTGAGTAATGGCTATGATCATGCCACAGTATAATTCTCGTTCCTGTTTCCATCCTTCCTTTCTTTCCACTTAACAAAAGCAATTTCCACAGTAAAACAACAATGGTTATTTGTTGTAATTTCAGAGCTGTACATGTGAGGCATTTTAATCAATTAAAAAATAACACATAAAGGTAATATAAAGGCTAATTGTCTTTTCAACTTTCGAGCATGTCCTTTGACGCAGTCAATGAAAATAGAATATTAGGGTTGATTAATGGCATCATAGTTTTCAGCCATGGAAACTTTTTATTTTTAATAAAATCAGGAGTCCCAATATATAAAACAAAAGTTGAGACACTGGTTGAAGTTGACACATGGTTTGGTATCCCTTTCATAGTAGGATCAAACATGAGAGATGCTGGTGACTGTGTCCTTGATGATGCCACATAATTTAAATGTCACAGTTATTTGAATTATATATGAGTTTTTGCTAATTTTTAATTGAGAAACTCAATGAGCGATTATATATAAATAAAAATAGGACATTTTTATTTCAGGGAGGTGAATTTTTTGTTAAATTTCATTATCAGTTGAACATGTGTTATGTGCTATGTACCAGTCACTATGCTAATTGCTGCAGAGATGCAAAGATAAATCTTATTCCCAGGAGCTCACAATCTAGAAGAGACAGCCAGGTAAATAAATTATTGTAGAAAGTATAATATAGTACAGATATGCACAAATGTTTACATTAGGGAGGAACTTACTAAGATGAAACCATTTTGTGTAAAGAGAAAAAATGTGTGCAAAGATTCATGACTTCTAGAACATCACATTTGCCTGGTTTGGTTTGGTTTTGTATTGTGTTGTTTTGTTTTGTTTTAACCCCCTACCTTTCTTGATGCTTTTCAGTTTCTTTCGTTGATTCCTTCTCATCTCCCTTACATGGAATGATTGGAGTTGCTCAGGGCTCTTTTTTTGTTTGTTTAATTTTAAACATATTTGCTTTCTAGGTAAACTCATTACTTGTAAGCCTAATGACTCCCAAACTTAAAATAACAGCCTAGACCCCTCCCCCTAATTTCCAGACTTTATTTTCAGTGAAACTTGATACCTCTTGCAAAGGCTCTCAATTAACACGTTTAAAATTATGTGCTTCATATTTGCACTCTGCAGTCCAAACACTACCAAGCCAGCCACTTTGCTGTCTTCCCATCTCTGTTAATGGCAACTCAATTTTAGTTGTTCAGGCCAAAATCCTTGATGTTATTACTGTGGACTCTTTCTCCCACTTCATGCCTATTCTTTGAAAATTTCTGCCAGCTCTAACTTTAGGATTTGACCTTTTTTTTTTTTTTTTTTTTTTTTTTCCTTTCTTTTCAGCCATCTCCATTCCTAAATGGTATCTCTGTTGCCCGCAGTCTGTTCTCAACGAGTGATCCTATTAAAAGATGTCATATCATGTCATCCCTCTATTCCAGTGCTTCTCAACTGAGGGTGATTTTGCTCCCCAGGGGACATTTGGCAATGTCTGGAGACTTTTTTTATTATTACACTGGTGGGGTTGGGGAGGGGTTGCTACTAGCATCAAGTGAGTGGAGGCCAGTGATGCTGCTAAACACTCTACAATGCACGAAATAGCCCCATGCAATAAAGAATTGGTTAACTGAAAATGTCAGTAGACTCAGCTGGGAGATTCTGTGTGTGGTGAGGGCCCATTCCTCATAAACAGGACCTTCTCGTTGTGTCTTTACATGCTGGAAAGGGCAACACAGCTCCCTGGGACCTCTTTTATAAGGGCATTAATCCCATTCATTGGAGCAGATTTCTAAAGACATAATCATCCCCAAAAGGCCTCTCTTTCTAATACCATCACCTTGGTGATGAAAATACAACATATAAATTTGGGAGGGAACACAGACCAACTGCTCTATCAAAACTCTAAAATTGTTATACATCTCAACTCATATAATGGCCTAAAATTCCTTTAAGGAAAGTCTTTATGCCACACTGCAGCTATTCCCCACCTCTTTTTTTCTGTAAATATTAAGAGGAAATAAAACGTACATATGTAAAAGATTTTAACCTTTTTCTTAAAATTCTTACCTATGTCCACTAGGGGGAGGGCTTCACTACTAAATAATACAGTGTTTTCATTCACCCGCTGTTACAGAAGTCACTGTAATAAAAGCAAGCATTCGCATACTCGTAACAGAATGTTTTCTTACATATGGTAACCCATTTTCAGATGCAATTGGTTTTTTACAATTCCAATGTACATTTTTCAATTCGATAAAAGTGAGTTTTAAAATGTAATTTTGTATTTGGATAGATTGTTTTTGAATTCACAAATACTATTTTAAGGAGTTGCTTTAAAGATTTCCATATTGGATTTTTTGTGCACATTTCTTTCCCTCTAAAGCCAGTCCTACTGATATACCAGGTGCAACTTTTATTTGGTCTCTCCTTCATCTATCAGTGAGGAAGTTCCTGCACCCAGTATACCCGGGGGCAACATAATAGGTTAGGAAATCGTCAATTCTACGTCAGAAGCCCACTATCTCCAACTAAGCTATTGTCTCCTAGAGAGACAACATGGGCACTGCATTATTGAGCTTTTCATTGTCAGTGCACCCCTGGAGGCCTGGAATTGTACAGTACACAACCTGTGCACCCATGAATGATATAGCCTGAGACTTCGATTACCCACTGGGCTAGAAATGGTATACCTTGAATCAAGCCATTGCATGTATTAAATGCCTCCTAAATGATCATTCTTTGTAGATTTTGCTCACTTTTGCACATTCTATGTGACATTAATTTTTCTTTGAGAGGGTTATTAGGCTTCCCCTATTATTCATGGGACAGTGTCTACTGAGACATCAAGGGTTCATAAGGGCCGGGCCATTCATCTTCTGTTGTGACCCCCTCTTTTAATTTTATCAATGCAGCTAGAAAAATTGTACAGTTTAGAAGATACCTTAAAAGTAATGAATGAAACTAAAAATGATGAGGTGATACAGCAGTGAGGAGGTAACCTGAGAAACCTGAAAAGTAGCTGAAAAGAAGGTAGGGCTCTGGGAAAAGTAGAGTTCATCCAAAAATGAAACACCAAGCCAGCATCCAACTTTTGTTTAGATTAAAATGACTTTATACAAGCGTGACTTAGTCTGGGGTTATAGCATAACCATTCTTTAGCTAGGTGCTTTTATAGTCAAACTACTGGTCAAAACTCATAAGCAGTAAATATAATATGTGTGTATGTGTGTGTGTGTGTATATATATATATATATATATATATGTAAAATGAAATCTGCATTCTTTTCAAATTTAGTTCTTTTTGCAATATACATTTTATTAATTCAAACTGAAGGTATAAAAATGGCTGCAGGAATTCGGAGACTTTTAGAAATCATTTCCAAGTGCCTTTCAAAAGGCATAAAAGGTATTTAATAGAGTGTTTTCCTTACATCACCCTCTGATTTCCTTCAGCATAGCAGCTCTGAGCACACAGAAACCGCAATGCAGACCTCTGATGTCATCAGCTACCTGCTCCTATGGTTACCAAGATGGACTCACAATTTCTGATCATCTCTATCAATGAAGTGGCCCGTTTCCTAGACTGTAAGTATGTGAGTAGTTGTGTAGAATGGAGGGATAAAAGGATATTTGTCAGTATTTAATCTTTCCTCTGGGTAAAGAAGTAGGAGGAGTTTGTAGTATGACTTATTTTAAAAACAAAATGCACATTTTCTATGTTGCCTCAATAGCTAGGCTCTCCATATGCCTGTCTCAAAGTACTAGAATAAGAAAACCTTTAGGAGCATTTGAAAAGGAGTGAAAAACATTTTATTTGGAAATAGGGCTATGAATTCAGCTTGGGCATACAGATCACTTATCACAGGGTATGAGATGGAAATTTATTATTGAGACACCAAGGTACCAATAGATAGCAAAGTAAGATGGGCCACCCTCAGGCACTTCTAAAAAGGAGGTAGCTGAAAACTCAGGACACAATTCTTATTTCCTCACCAGAATTGAGGGGCTAAAGAGGTCAAGAGAGGTATCCAGGAAAAGATTTTGAGAGAAGTGAGATGTAAGCCCTTCCTGTCTATCCATGGAGATAGGCTTGCAGTGTTTTCCCTATCAGAAGTGAAGATTTTCAATGAACTCACTTAAAGAACTTGGTAAGTTTCCTCCCTTTAGTGGAGGACAACATGGACTGGTATCCAACTGCCCCTGAAAAACTTAAAATCTGGCAGAGCTGGCCAGCTTTTCTGATGGTACCAACAAAGAAAATGCTACCACATTGAGATCATAGTCCATCCTCAGAGATTGTTGAGTCAAGGATAAAC